AAGGTATCTAAGGACAATTTCGGCAACTTCTCTATACCTAGACATCATGAACTCACCTGTATTCCTGCAAACCAACTCTAGCATTAAGCCATAAACTCTATCACACAATATGCCATGAAATCAATCTGCTTATAACAGAAAACAACACAATCTTCGTCTTCAAGAGTTTGTTCAGGTATACACTGAGAGTAGAGGACTGTACATGAATTATCTTTTTCTTTAATTATGGGAAGTACAATGAATACGATGACACACAAAGATAAGGAGCATCATGGGGACTAACAAGTTCTTCTACGTACAATATTTCAGAATCAAATTTGAGTGTCTGATTAATAGAATGGGATGCTTTCGAAATAGACAATCACTTTTATATTTACCTCAACAGCTCCCCCACTGCAAGTAAAGAACCATGAATACTATGAACCGGAGCATTTCTGCCCAACCCATCCTGCGTAGCTTCAAACATTCGATAGTACCTGTAAAAGCCAAATGAAGAGAAGATCAGTTAACTTGATTGAATATTTTAACAAGCATTGGCAATGATATATTTACATCCAGTAGAAAGTCTGCAAGTCAGAGAACATAATTCAACTTGACCATAAATAGCATAAATAGCTGATATAAGTTGCTTATACACAATAAAATACACAAAGTAGTACTTAAATGAGGGTCACCATCTAACAGAATTGCAAATGAAAGTATTGCAACAACAGAGAGAAAAGCCTCGCATAAAAAAATATACCAAAAATACCTAAGGAAAACATTTAAGGCACTTGATAAGTTAAAAGGAGAAGAGAATACAAACCACTGCACTCGCCATCGAGTCTCCCTTTTCTCAATAACACGAAGGCAAGCACGCAACGCCTCAACAGCTCGTTCTCGCACTTGCAACTGGGGATCCCTTAGTGCAACCCAGATAGCATCCACAAATTCAGGGACATGAACATTAAAGACAGTAGAAGCATTTTCTGCCATCTCCTGCAATGTTGCAAGAAAATAGTCATATCCGTATTAATCTACTGGATTGAAAAGTTATCCTCACTATCATTTTCAACATCCATAATCCAATTTATTTGATCACAAATATCTTTCTGAGAAACCATAAGAAAAATAAACATGCGTTCCTGCAGCTTATTTAAAGAGTAGGACAGCTGGGAAAATCAGGATACCTTTAATATTAAAACGGCGGCAAAACGACGATATTCCACCCTGTCTACGTGAAGCCAATCAAAAGCTGTTTTCATCTGTGAAAACGAGAGAAGGAGTTGAGAAACTGTGACGGGAGCCAGTGATAGAAAGGGGAGAAAAAACAACAAATCGAACCTGAAACTCCACTTCATCTGAAGTCATTGCTCCACCTGCCCGAGCAAGGTGGCCCAAAACTTTACTAGCAAGCACCAAGATTTCGGGATCACGCTTCAACTCGAATACCGTCCTCATGTAACCCGCAAACCTAGAAACCTTAGTAGCATTCTCACCAAATCCAATCTCCGTCAACTCATCAATGGCTCTGAGAGCACCCATGTTTTCAGCCACATCCGTGCTCTCGATTAAATTAGCAATCCTATCATATAATTGTTCCATGAACCTAGAGGAAGCTTCACCGCTAAGATCACGAACTGCTTCCTCTACATGTTTCCTAAACGCTAAAGGAGCTCCCTCCTGATAAAACAAACAAAAATCATCAATCATTTGCAAACATCAGATACAAAACCGAAAAAAAGTCGCATACTTTACAGAAAACAACAATCCACAAATTGCCAGACCTAGACTGGCTATTAGAACTTTAAAACAAATCGAATTTTGCATAAATAAGAAGAGAGAGATTCCTTCATACAAGCAATAAAAGGAAGAGGATTGTTCTGGGTTTAAACTAAAGCATCAAAAAGGAGAATACTTTACAATGTTCTTCGTTACCTTAGGATTACCACGGCTGCAAAGGTCAGCGATGACACGGTTCAAAGTGTCAAAGCTTCCGCCGCCAGAAGAGGTGACTGCAGGGCCACAAAAGCGGTGCGATTGGGACGGGGAAGCCATGGATGCAGGCCTTCCAGCCACAAAAGATTGCGACGAGGTAGACATCGCTGCAGGGCCGGTCCAGCCGCAAAAATCTTCCAAAAACCCTAAATCTGAGCCCTTTTGTTTGGTGTTGAACAACACTGGGTAGAGAAGAGTATGTACAGAGGAAGAGAGAGAGGTATCTTCAACACATCATGCGTAGAGAGAAGCCGAAGATCGCAGAAGAAAAGAAATTAGGAATTTTGCTTTTTCTTTTTTTTCTTTTTTGTGTAAACAAATCCAACACTTAAGTGCTTTTTAGCTTTTTTAGGTTTTTGCCTTGTTCTTTCAATTCAGACAAAGTCCTTGGTAAATCATATAACTGAAAGGTTTTTTTACCAAGAGAATAAAAACTTACTGTTGTAGTGTGTATATATATTACATTGACTAGTTAAAAAAACTCTTCACATTCAGTCTTCCCAATAACATATACAATAATATCTTTACTAAAAATATAAGGATGTGTCACTTGTTTGAACAAAAAAAAAAGACTTATGAATTTGTCATTACGACTAATTGACAAGATATAAAAAACAGACATAAATAAATTGTTCAGAATCAGATCATATTTGTGGGATGTTCTAGTAGTCAAATATTATTTTGCCGGAGGAAAGCTAGTTTGCTTGGAAATAATTGGAAAACATCATCATAGGATAAGCATATGTATTCATTCACTGGGGAAAGGAAAGGATCAAGCAAGGTTTGCTCTTTCAACCACAACAAGGACAGCAACGACATGTCTACCGTCTACGACAGCATGGTCAAAACGGTGAAAACTAGATAAGCCCTTCTGAGGATTTTTTAATTTCTTAATCAGTAGCAAGTAACATCAATATATGAGTTAGTCGTAGGAGCTTTTGGTTTTATATTGCAGTGGTTAATCGGCTCTTCCACTATGGGGATGTCTAGCTCCTTTGGTAGAGCATCATCATCATGGTAATATATATTCTTGGTTGGTATGATACTTGCGCAAAATACTTTCTGATGCATGGAATCTCTCGTTAGGGTCATCAGTCATGCATACTTGCTAGAGGAGTTTGCGTGCTTAATTAATTTGATAATTTAATAAGAGTTACGATTATATATGAAACAAATTAAACTGCTACTGCTATTTTTGTTGTTGCCACAATTAAGTGTTTCACTTTGTTTTCAATATCCCTCCTTCGCAACTCCTTGCTTAGCAAGCGTGATCCGTACTGTGAAGATAGAACATATTGTCATATAGATCGGTATTGGATTGTCCAAGATATGGACGATTCGGAGGATTCGATCCCATGATAACAGTGAATCGAAGAAAAATTAAGAGATTGTTTCGAGATAAGGTTACAAAAGACGAATCGAAACAAGAAGATCAAAGAAATGAAGAAATTCTCATAAATCGAATCGTGAACACGAATTGAAAAATCACAAAGACGGCTAAGAAACAAAAATAACGATGAACGAAAGAAGATGAAGAAGAATTAGATCAGTCGATGAAGAACTCATGATGAAGAAAAATACCATATCATATTCAGAGAAGCTCTTATATCGAGAGAGAGAGAGCTAAAGAGTAAAGAGAGAGTGAAGAAAAATAAAGTGTATTACACATTTTCCTTGATGAATACAATGTACAATATTTAGTATTTATACTAAGTATACATTGACTCAGTAAACTATATTATAAGAATGTTTTATACTATATCCAAGTATCAGTATTCATGATAAGCAATGCATATGAAAGCTTTTCGTCTTCCTCACCTACCGGTGGGTTGTTTTGCCTTTACGTTAGGGTTTGTTTGGGTTCTTCGAATTAATTGACCAATCCATGGGGTTGCCCTTCATTAGTACATCTTTCCCTAACAATAGACTGTTGTAGCAAAGAATGTCAGAATTTGAACCAAATATAATACTCTATAAGAAGCTTGATTCAACCAATTAAGGATAATGATGCCAACTAAATACATGCGTGCTCCAACTTTTGGGAACAGCTCATCTAATCTAAACAGATACTACTACTTACTTACTAATTTATCAAATTTTCCTATCAGCTCATTTTAAAATTCAAACCTAAATATTTTCAAAATAAATTTCCAACTAATGCACAACTTCGGCTAGGCGTGTACTTCAACATTCAACAACAACAAAAGAACATAATAAACTTTTTTTTTTTTAGCTAAGCTTGCCATCAATATATGTATATTTGTTTTCCAATTGGAAAATGCATGGTACATTTTACAAGATATTTCAGGTTTAAACAAATATATTCAGATCTTACAATAAAGATACTGCAATCCTATTTTCACTCATTTTCTAAGTAAAATAGTAAACAATTTAAAACGTGTAAAATACTAAAATGTCAATAAAACAACAACAACAACAACAACAAAAAGTTACATAACAAATAATAATTTTAAAACCACCAAAAATATGTAATATTTTTTTTTTTGGAATATACACATGTTGATTTTTCTTTTATATGTTTCCAGTCAAAACAAAATCTACCATATAAACAACATAACCAAATCCAGAAAGTTATATTAAAAATGTAGAAGACAGAACATCAATATTCAAAAAAATTAACTAAAAAATCATTAATAGGAGAAAATAAATATAAATATACTAATATATAATGACATTTGAAGATTATGAGAAATAGAATATTATATATCATTGACATATCTGGAAATTAACAGGTGAGGTTTTTTGGCTTTTGCCTCCACCAAATCTGTCACATAATATTTGGAAAATGGAAAATTATAAGAAAAATCACAGCTATATGCCAGGCTGTTACTTTCTCGCCAATCTTCCCATTTTTTATAGCTTTCTCTCTTTAATCCCTTTTCTTATTTCTTCTACTCCAATTCTCTCTTAAACCCTAAATCTGTTAGGGTTTTTAGTGTTCGCTCCTCTGCTTTGCTTCTCTCACTAATTAACATTCACCGGAGAGTTCATACAAATTCACAATGGATCCATGCTCTTTCGTACGGATCATCGTCGGTAATTTGGCGGTTAGGTTTCCGATATCACCGTCGTCTTCGTCTTCCTCATCGGGACCATCTGTTTCCGACGTATCCTCTGGTAATTGCTACTGTAAAATTAAGTTCAAGAGTTTCCCGCGGAAGATTGTTTCTGTTCCCGTCCTGTTGCGAACTGAATCGGAGTCGGAGTCACGGTGTTGCTTCTCCGGTAACGTATCAACCGTCGCTGCTTGCTTCAGTCTGAGCAAGTCTCAGATCGAGACGTGTCTTAAGAAGCCTAAGTGGAGTGTTCTCTCCGTCGAGGTTTACTCTCGCAGCGGTGCTTCGTGTGGATTCCTCGCTCCTTCCGGTGAGAAGCTGATTGGTCGGTTCGAGGTTTCGCTTGATTTGAAGGCGGCGGAGACTAAGACGTGTTTGGCACACAACGGCTGGGTTAGTTTGGGCACCAACTCGAAGAAGAAGAATAAGAAATCCGGGTCGGATCCGGAGTTCCACGTAAGCGTACGGGCTGAACCCGACCCGAGATTTGTGTTTCAGTTCGACGGCGAGCCCGAGTGTAGCCCTCAGGTTTTTCAAGTCCAAGGAAGCACAAAACAAGCTGTTTTCACTTGCAAGTTCGGATTCAGAAACTCCGGTGACCGGAATCTCAATCCCAGGTATGTAAATTATCAAACTTTATACTTATCATTAGAAGCAGAGCTTTTGCTTTTTTTACTTAGGTTTAGAAACAGAGCTTTTGCTTTTTTTTACTTAGGTTTAGTACCAGTTATAGAGTTTTGACCAACCATATATATAGAAGCTCTTGCAGTATTGCTTTGGATTTATGCACAGTTTAAGTACATATATCAGATTTGTGATGATTCTAATATGGGTTGGTGTTTGAATTTTGCAGTTTATCGTCGTCATTCAAAAGTGGAAAGGAGCTGTCTTTGAAAGAGAGAAAAGGTTGGACGATAACAATCCATGATCTCTCTGGCTCACCAGTGGCTATGGCTTCAATGGTCACACCTTTCGTACCATCCCCTGGTTCTAACCGCGTGTCACGGTCTAGCCCTGGAGCTTGGCTAATCCTCCGACCTGATGGCTACACTTGGAAGCCATGGGGTCGCCTCCAAGCATGGCGTGAACCAGGCGTTTCCGACGTTTTAGGTTACCGTTTCGAGCTTTATCAAGACGGGATCGCCGTTGCAGTCTCTGCTTCGTCGTCCATCAACACAAAACTTGGCGGGAGTTTCATCATAGACGGATCAACCACTTCTACGACTGCCCCTCTGACTATCTCGGAAGGAAGTTTCGATCTTTCGTCCCGGTCAAGCGTTGGATCATCGAGAACCGGTTCAGGATCCGGGTCGGATTTCGGGTTGTCACTTCCTCAAGCGCAACAGAAGCTGGGGTTTGTGATGTCGACGAAGGTGGAAGGGGTGGAGAAACAGAGCAAGCCTAAGGTGGAGGTAGGTGTGAAGTACGTGACATGTACGGAGGATGCGGCGGCGCACGTGGCACTAGCAGCGGCGGTGGATCTAAGCATGGATGCTTGTAGGCTCTTCTCTCGTAAGCTAAGGAAAGAGCTGAGACAGCTAAGTCGCGAAGCTGTCGTTTGATGTTTATCGCATTGTTTGTAATCGTACATGAGATAGAATTGGTCTTCCACTCACTAGTTGTTTTTTTGTTTCTAGTGGGTAGATAAAAGACTTAACTATTTTTGAAATGGGCCCTCGTGGACTTTATCTTCAGCTTAGTGTTTAAGCCCAATGTCGTCTTTATCGTCTTGTATTTATTTTAAGCTCTTCCTCTTCTCTGTAATGCTTATCGAAAGATCAACAAAACAACATTATCTTCTTCTTTTTCTCTGTTAGTCACGTTGTTAATGTATCATTCTTGTTAAGTCACAAGACAAACCCGGTTCTATCAATTAGTTAAATATCTGAGTCAAATATATTGATTAGATGTTTTTTATTGTTTATATTGATTAGATGCTAACACATGCTAAGTCTAAATTTATTAATATAGTTAAAAAAAAAGTGTAAAAGTTCCTAACCTCTCTGAAAATATATATACACATAACTAATTATAAAAGAATTCCTATTGTATCTTATAAAATGTCTAGATAATATTAGTATACGTAGGTAGATATATTAGAAATAATCCCCAAAATATTATCATCATTAAATAAGGAAAATTAAGGTTACAAGTAATCTATCTTATTATTTTTGCAACTCTTTTTTTGACCACCTATGATTAAAAATTTTTTTGACTATAAATACCCTTCATATTTAACTAAACACTCTATTATCATTAAAGTTAAATGGGACAATTATTCTGACAGGTCGGTTTAAAATCTTTTAATTACAACCCGATTGGAGTAAATGGATCTAACATTTGATACAATGATTATTACTAACTTCGTATATAAAGGTGATAATAATCATCTTTCCTTTTATAACTACAACAGAAAATATCTATTGGTTATTAAAAAATACAGCGTACCAAAGGGCGTAATGATCAGTTTAGTATTTAAAAATCTTCTTTTCTAAGTATATAGATAACACCTTCCCTATTATTAAGCACACGCACATCTATATTAATTTCACAATCAGAGAATATTCAATTGATTTATTCTATATTAAGAAACAGTATTAACTGCGTCCCATAATTTTAGAAACAATATTAACTACGTCGCATGATATTAGGAGTTTATGCTAACCAGATCTTTTGATTGAATGTTACTTTCTATTGTATATGACTGTGCTTTCCAAATCTTTCAAAAATTATATTATATTGTATTTTTAAAATATGTTGACTCATTATAGCAAAACTCGACGTGAATGTTTTTGATAACTACGTTGCATAATTTTAATTTTAAAAAGATACTGGGTTGTTGCAATTGAGGGTCTTGCAAAATAAAATAAAATTCTGATTTAATAACTTGAATAGTTGAATAATCGTAGGTTTTCTAGGAGTATGATAAGATTAATGTTCTTTTATGAATATGGAGTTTTAAATTTTATTTTGTAAAAAATGATGTGAACACACTAATGTATAATTTCTTAACAAAAAAGTCCACATAAATAATTAGGACCAAAATTTAGTAACTTGGTAAAGTTTGAGAATATAGTTAGCATTAAATCGGAATGAAATTTATTCCTATAAAGAAACAAATTTAATTTCGCAATAAAAATGATTTTGAAGCCAAAAAATCATCATTAATGTTAATATATATGTATATATATAGAATACCAAATGTTAATCAAAATATTAAAAATCTCCTATAACTAAGGTAAGTTTAATATTGTATCAGAAAATTTTAGATTAAAATATACAAGCAAACAATACTCATTTATTACAATTCCCATCACAAAATTCGGTTTTGGTAAGATATGTTTAGATTAGGAGAACACATAAGCGTTTTTATTTATAACCATAAATCATAAAATCAGAACTGATTAAAGATTTCCTTATTATTAGTTAAAGATCGAGTAAATATAGGAAACATAAACTAATTGCTACACAAACATTCTCAATCACACCTAACCTTATTAGCAAGGATCTCTATAAATAGTCTGTCAACAATTTACACAATAGAAAAATCATCAGAGCATACACAAATTACTCATAGAAATTTCAGAATAAACTTTTATGTTATTTTCTACATCTAAATATACGATTGTTTATGTGTCTCTAATATGTAATATAGTACAATAGACAGATTCATTCTAGATAGATCTTCGGTTTCAGGCTGTAATGTATATCTCTAAAATAAGTTATTGTTTGTTCATATCTGTATTGCTCATCTTTCTTCTTCATTTATCCTTTGTATTTATAGTTATTTTCTGAGTTCTATATATTCATTTTAATATTAATTTGGCATGAATGAAATATAGAAACAATGACGAAATTTAAATGTAACTTCAATTCCATTTATTCCAATTTTATTTTCTTCAGAGAGTATATACAAATATTATTGCATAAAATTTTCCTTTTTTTATTTTGCTTTTGGGGAATTGTATTTGTTTGTGATAATCTGAAAAACCAAAATAATGGGTTAGTTCTCTCTAGCTAATTCTACCAAAAAAAAGTTCTCTCTAGCTAATCTTTATTTTCATCCACTTATTGTTGATCACAATACATATGTGGCTAAAAAATAATGGTAGGATAGATAAAACAAAGATATAAACAATTATATTACCTACATGAAATATATCTTTTTTTTTAAAAGTTTAAACAAACGTGAAGTTTGTTTTAATACGGTTTAGAGCAAATCAATTCTCAAAGTAAAAAATAAAACAATTGCCAAAGACTTGGTTCTTTATATTTTCATAAGTAATAAATCATATCTCATTAATTAAAGTTTATATCTTGGAGTACCCAACTCTTCCAACTTGAATTTTAAAGTTTTTGTTTAGCAAACAAAAATAAAGTTAATACAGTTATAATTTTAGTGGAGTTACCAAATTAGTCATATTTCTTATTTTAAAATGTATAAAAATGTCTATAAAATTTTGATATATGATGATAACTTTTACTGTTTGGTAGTCATTAAATAAGTTTATTATATTGATTATACATCTTAGTATAGTCTATTTAGAGTTTAATAAAACTACATTTTTATATAATACAAATAATGAAAAATATCAACACAGCCAAATAAATCTGCAAAAAATATGTTTTCGTTTAAAAAAAACCAGAAATTCCCCCTCCCGTCTAGGTACACATTTAGCAAATTCTTTGATATATATACATCACATAGGATACATTGTTCATGTTGGAAATCAAAGACTATGCTAAACGAATTTTGTATATAACTATATATAAACTATAACATTTAAAGTTTTACATAACACATACGCATAAAATACTGGCCCGTGGTACGGTTAAAGTTTTACATAACACATACGCATAAAATACTGGCCCCGTGGTGTACCACGGGGTAAAATCTAGTTTATAGTATAATATTACTTCAAATAGGGACCTTTCATATATCTTGTTTTTTTGTATATTTTGTTAGATTTTTTTTTCTTTGCTAATAATTTTTTAAGATAATTCTAGATTTATATAGGATATCAAACTTTTAAGAAAACATTTTCGTCATCTATATATCGTAAATAACGTAAATAACTATGAGAAAAGAAAAAAAAGAGTATAGTGTATTTGGTAATAGAAAATTTTAAATTATACACTAAAAAAAATATGTGAATCCTAATCTAGTATCTAATAAAGATGTCAATCGTACTGTATACAATAGTTAATCATACTCCCTACTTATAATTGTCATGAGTCAAGTGAGTCAAGTTGTATTTTTACTGCCAAGTTGAATTGTTAAACCATTAAATTATTATGAGCTGTGTTATATTTTATAGTGAACTTGTTACCAATTCGAATCCCTAGCGTTTAACCCACGCATGGTTAATTTATGGTCTACTTGGCATCTGCATGCGCGCCATATTTTTGTTTATTAAGGATATTGTATAGTGGTTATAGAGACTGGTACAAGTGGATAGACTTTGTTAATCTAAACTAATGTTTATAATTATATAGTAAACATATGAAGGTCCCATGCATTAACGTTGTAACCGGCGGAGGATCACAGCCATGCACATGCCATTATATGTAAACAAATGAACATCGATATTAACATATACATGCATCTTCAAACAAATACTAGTTAACATATGACCTTTCCTAAAGAAGACCAATGCAAATTCAAATTTCTTCTTCATCGGATAATGCTAAATGTAGATACTTGATGATGATAGAATCATATGACTTTAGTCTTTATAAAATAAGATAAGTCATCAGTTCCCCAATGTCACAAAAAGTCTCCGATCCTTATTAGCCCACTGACCTTAAACTAGCATATATATTTGCCTATATAAACAAGACTGAAGCATTCCTCAAATTTCACAACATAAACAACATATCTCCCTTTTCCTATAATCATCTCTAACTACGACACTATGATGAAGATTTTCAAAACCCCATCACTACTCCTATTAGTCACGATTAGCTTTCTGGTTATTGCCACCAATGCTCAAAACACCAACCAAGACTTCCTTGACACTCACAACACCGCCCGTGCGCAGGTTGGTGTAGCGAACATAGTCTGGGATGCAGCTGTCGCGGCCTATGCATCGAACTATGCTAATGCTAGAAAAGCCGACTGCAACCTCGTTCCCTCAGGAGGAACACTATATGGAGAAAACCTAGCCAAAGGAAGTACTGCCACGTTCACAGCCATAGCTGCCGTGAATCTTTGGGCCTCCGAGAAAATTTACTACAACTACACTAGCAATTCTTGCATAGGTATAACTTACACATACACTCTAGGGAAAACATACTAAACACTATTATCTTTTTAAAATATATCATTTACCGAAATTCTTATTTGTTAAAATTACGATGTCCTAACGGATTAACTATACATTATGAGTTCATTTATTTTTGTTTAAAAAATATTAAATTATCGAGTGCAAAGAGACTAAAAGAAATTTCACTAAGCTTATATGGATTATGAAAACTACAGGTGCACATGAATGTAAGCATTACACGCAAGTGGTATGGAGTAACTCGGTGAAGATAGGCTGTGCTAGGGTTCAATGCAACAACGGTTGGTACTTCGTGAACTGTAACTATGATACACCCGGTAATAAGGCAGGAGAGTACCCTTACTGATCCTAACCGCGTATACAGCCAAAAATAATTAATTAAGTATGAATAAATTGCAATGAATTGAAGTACTGCTTATAAAGAATATAAAGTATCTCGTTTAATCTGTAGATCGATCGATGTAATATTCTACCAATTTTACATTGAGCGGTTGTAAGGTTTGCCTTCTTTTACAACTAATCAAATGTTGTTTTAATAACTTTATATAGTGACAAAAGTTTGTTCTACTACATCGTAAAATGATATTTACATTCTTATCAGATTTGCAGGAAGACGAAAATTTGATGACAATTCAACTTAAAAAAAAAACCAATCCAAACGTACAGTATATCGGTCCAATTTATGTGACAATTCTTTAATTGAACAGTACGAATCGAGAATTTCCAAATTTATTATCCAAACTGATCCAAATATGTCAAATATCAAGCTCTAATTAGCTAATCTGGTAATTAAAATTTGAGTCTAGCTTACATATACAATTTACAAGAATGTACAAGTAAGAAAATCAGAAACAATTTTCTAGACCTTAGCATATAGCCAGTCATATAAAACCCAAAAAGAAAACCAAAAGAGATATTACGTGTGATTTCTTGATTTTGTAACTTATTTTGAAATATAAAAGGGAGTCATGACAAAAATATTTTAATTTTTATCTAGCTTCCTTAATCATCTAAAAACTTAAGTTTTTTGTGTGTGTGTGTGTGTGTGTGTGTGGAAATATAGATCCACAATTAAAGTAGACCAGTTATGAGTCTTTCAAAAACCATTAGTTATATTACAAAAATTAAATGCAAATGTATATCGCTCTCACTCTCGCATGTTGTGAATCCTTATGGTGAATTCATTCTCCAGTAGCACTATCTTCACGCACTTGGCATGCATCCTCCCCTGCTCTACACTAGTTAATTTGTTTGTTTATAATGCAACCACTTAATTAGGTTCTAGCTAATAAGTACCTAATCACATCAAAAAGGAATGAAAAAGTTGAAACTAGACTACCAAAACCCTATACCTTATCCTTGATTACACGATTCGAAAGACTGTGGACTAAGCAGCTGATGATTTCGTCCTCTCCATATCCACACGTAGAGATCGACGCTTGCCAAATCAGTAGAAGCAGTTCCTATTAATTGTCTTTTGATACAATGAATCTTCTAATTAACATGAGGAAGGAGAAGATCCTTATTTTTGTGGTGAGTGGTGACTACTGCAAGATATTTGATTTACGTCTTCTTCTTTACACTCTATCTATTTATATTATTGGATGTAGTCTGTTTAGTGGAAATAGTTTTTAATTATAATCACTCAACACTGTCTATGAATGCTCCAACAACGTCGTAACCGGCGGAGGATGACGGCCATGCACATGCAATCATATGTAAATTATTAAACATTGATATTAAAATTTATACATCTCTTCATATCATATACAATACATGGCCTATCCAGAAAAGAAAAGAAGAAAAGAAGAAGAATACCAAATCTCTATTCAAATTTATTATCCACTTGACAATGCTAAAGAAGTTGATCATAGCTAGTGGTGATGCTTCAATATACAAACAATGGACAATCTATATTTGCTAAATTGCTCTGTTTTTGGAAATTATTATTCAAAAATAACATAATTTCATGAATATTTTTTTGATTGTCGTTAATTATATATAACAATTTGTAAACCTCTCCATAGTTTTTATTATAATAAAAATAATTTTCGCAAAATATAAAACAATTTTTTTTATAGATTTTGTTAAAATATTTCTATTGTTGCGGTCACTTTGCTAGCTAGCAGTACACTTTTTTTTTTTTTTTTAATTACAGTATATACTTTTGTTTATGGGTAATATTAGTAGATAGCCAAATTATGTAAGATTACTTAAATTGATAATTAAAGAAAGGCATGATAACACTTTTTGATAATTTCACTTCACTTTGGAAATAAATTTGATCTTTATAAAAAGAAAAGTCAACTCCCAATGTTGAAGTTTCCCAAAACCACTGAACCTAAATAAGCATCATATTTGCATATATAAATAAGGGCAATATATATAATCACATATTCCTCAGACTCACAACATAAACTATATATCTCCCTCTCGCTTCCTAGAATCAATCATCATCATCACATATACGATAATGAATACGTTCAAAACCCCATCACTCATAATCGTTGCGATTAGCTTTCTTCTGATCATTGCAACCAATGCTCAGAACACTCCGCAAGACTTCCTTAACGCTCACAACACCGCCCGTGCGCAAGTTGGAGTGCCGAACCTCGTGTGGGATTCAGCGGTCGCGACCTACGCATTGAACTATGCCAATTCTAGAAAAGCCGACTGCAGCCTTACTCACTCCAATGGACAATATGGAGAAAACCTAGCCAAGGGAAGTAGTTCTACTTTCACAGCCCTAGCCTCCGTGAAACTTTGGGTCGACGAGAAACCTTACTACAGCTACTCCACCAATAATTGCACGGGTATCGAAATTACAATCATTGAATCCGTTATAATTTAGTACAAGACTTCAAAATATTATGGTTTCATTAATTAGGAAATTAATGAATGTACAACATGTAACATAAACACACTCGCGTGTAAGTTAGATGTTTGACTAAACAAGCTTGTTGATTTTTGAAAATTATACAGGTGGAAAACAATGCTTGCATTACACGCAAGTGGTGTGGAGAGATTCAACGAAGTTAGGGTGTGCTAGGGTTCAATGCACCAATACTTGGTGGTTCGTCACTTGTAACTATGACGCACCTGGTAACTGGATCGGAGAGTACCCTTACTGATCTCATCCTCATCATCACTAATAATAACGTAAAATAATAATTATGATTAATGAAATAAATCTAATTTGAGTTACTTACAAATTAAAATCTTGTTTAATCACAAGATGCAAGTATTTATGATTTTTTCACGTAAAGAAAGTGGTTGTAAGGTTTGCCTTATTTTTAAATTAATGAAATGTTGTTTCTACTCTTGCTTATATTCAGTAGTGCGAAAGTCTGTTCTACTCGTAAAATGTTATTAATCATTTACTCTGTAATGTAATCGAATTGGTAGTGTAAATTTCGTGAGACTAATACTATAGTTAAGTGAAAAAATTCACAAAACGAATATTTTTTCTTCTTGAATTTCACACAACAATATTTGATTGCGATGAAGAAATAAGCTAGGAGACATTATGCAATTGATTCATTACTTATAAATTGAATTAGTAATCAACATTACCAACTAATGACAGTTTGGCCGAGTGGTCTAAGGCGCCAGATTTAGGCTCTGGTCCGAAAGGGCGTGGGTTCAAATCCCACAGCTGTCAGAAATCTCTTTTTGTTTTTAAAGGTTCTTGTTTCTTTGCTCAACAAACTCCCAAACGAGGCCTCCCAAGCCTTAATTCAAATTACTTAAAATTTCTTCAGCAAGTTTTCACCATAAGTTAGAGTAATCGTACAAATTAAACCGAACCCTCTTCGCATTCATAAGAAAAATTCATAAAAATCATTGTTAGAACAAATATAAATTACATATGGTCGGATACATAGACAATATCGTCCGATGAGGCAAAACATTATCGTTAAACTGCAATCAGAAGCATCTTCATGATTGATTTTCTTTTCTTGCTTTTAGTCTCTTTATGTTTTGATTTCCATTTTCTTGATTTTCTTGATTTTATTTTTTTTAATTTTAAATCAAGAAACGAATATACTCAAACAGAACCATCGATCTCGACCACCCAACCTTTGTTATCTTCAACAACTCCTAATTGGATATTCGTTAACATCAAGTGAAGCTTCGTGGACAATGCTTCTTCTCCTATCTTGTATGTTATCCTGCATTCAAACATAAATATATATGATCCAAAGTTCGGAAAGATTTGATGAAAGGGTTTTGTTTTTGTAAACTAATTATATAATCACTTTTTTCATGGAAGGTCACGTACGGTCTCAACAGCTTTAACGACCATTGCTGTTCCTGCGCAAAATATTTCTTCTGCCTCTAATAGCTCCTCCACTGAAACATCCCGTTCTTCAACCTCAACATTTACGAATCTTGACTCCTTGAATTGTCTAACTTAATCATACAAAAGGGTATATATATTATTACCTGGTAGCCTATATCACGAGCTAGCTCGCTTATGCTTTTCCTTGTGATTCCTGGTAAAATGTTTCCTGAAGTCGGTGGAATGGACACTATGTTTTCCTATAAAATGAATGATTACTAATGACTTTACGCAAAACGAATCCAAATTGTTGAAACTTTCTAATACCTTTTAAGGAGAGATGATGGAGCCATTGGATAGATGAACACAGAAAGAGCAAGAAAGTGATTTTTGAGTTTTGAGAAGGACTAGCTAAAACACTTAATTTGCTTATATATAAACAACAAAACAAAACCCTTCCAGTATAGAATGTTTCGACCACGATCGATCCTTCTTTATTTATATATTATGAATTTAGAATGTTCAACTAGCTATTATAATGTTTTTAAAGACTTAAAGCCTTAATGTATTTTTAAAGACTTACCATTAAGGACACACAACAAGTTCAGATGTAAAGAATGCGAATTGTGTACAATGGAATGAAGCGGATACTTGACTGAATGAATTTCATTTGAATATAAAATTACTAAAAATAAATACAATAAAATTGATTTTCTGATCAAAGAAAAATAACCGAAATGTGATTTAAATAATAACACTAGTAATATATAAACTAGATTAACAAACAAAATATTTATGTATAATGAGCATAATTGTTTAACCAAAAAATGCGAGTCTTTAGTTTATGTACTATCTATGCAATGCATCTGTCCACCACATGCAACTTTCATATACTTAACTTCATCTACTTAAGTTAACGCTGTTCTAAATATGCGAAGTGTAAATGGGATATTAATTTAGAACCAAGTTTCGTGCTAGTTTTCTTTTAAGCCTATATGAATTGATATATTCTAGGGCAAGATGGATGTGGACTTGCATTGCATCACACGTTTGTGGAAGTTTAGGTTCTTTAAATAAATTACAAGAACAATAACATGTGACAGTTTGGCCGAGTGGTCTAAGGCGCCAGATTTAGGCTCTGGTCCGAAAGGGCGTGGGTTCAAATCCCACAGCTGTCAGAATTCTATTTTTGTTCTGTTTTTAAGTTCTTGTACGTTTCCTTGGTCAACAAGCTCCAAGGCTTAATTCCCTCTGATAAAGACCTAGAAACACAAGGTTTCTTCTGGAAATCTCAACAATGACGACACGTTAACTCTTATTAAAAGACTTTATTGAACTGGTAAAACAAGCACGATAGATTACAGAGCAATATATATTAAACAAAAGATAACAAAAAAAAATTATAGCTTTTCATTTTTCTTATATGTTTTTCTTTTTTTTCGTTTTTTTGTTTATATAATTAGTATTGATTTTGCTTCTATTTTATTATCAGGAAACGAACTTGTTCCAATTCAGCCACTGATGATATCCACCATCCAACCCTTGTTATCTTCAACAACTCCCATTTGAATATTGGTTAACATCAAGTGAAGCTTCGTTGACAATGCCTCTTCTCCTGTCTTGTATTTCACCCTGCAGTCAAAGATAGATACATATTTATTAATGACTCAAAATTAACTCTAGGTAACTCCGAACTAGAAAAGAGTTAACGTAAGGATTTATTTTTGTGAAAGCTAATCACTTTTTTTCATGGAAGGTCACAGTCTCAACAGCTTTGACGACCATTGCAGTCCCTGTGCAGAATACTTCTTCTGCCTCTAAGAGCTCCTCCACTGAAACATCCCGTTCTTGAACCTGTCATAAGTTGTGAATCACAAACTAAGAATCTTGAAAAGATTCGTGAAAAATGTCTATAGATGATGAAAAAAGAGCTGGAACCTGGTAGCCAATATCACTAGCTAGCTTGCTTATGCTTTTCCTTGTAATTCCTGGTAAAATGGTTCCTGAAGTTGGTGGAGTTGACACTATGTTTCCCTATATACATAATTAGGAATTATTACTCTTATGAGTTCATGCAAATGATTTTAAAGGTTGAAACTTTATACTATATGTGATAATTTATTTTTAATCTTGTTAATTACCTTGAGAATAAAGATGTTACAAGTAGAAACCTCTTCGATGTTTTTACCAGTTGCCGCGTCCAGGAACAAGACATCAGAGAAACCCGATGACTTTGCTTCCAGCAACGGTTTTACAACCTTCCAAATTTTAAAACCAGGAATTAGACATTTCACTAACTTCAGTAACTTGTGGCTTGGACATCTATTAATTTATCTCTCGTGTCTATTTATTACTTACTGGAGAATAGTTGGTACAACTCTTCACACCCCCTGTTCCACCAGAGTGGGCTCGGCGATGCTTATCATCAACTTTAAGGTTTAAGCCTGAGCTTCCCTACAAGATAAACAAATTAAGTTAAACCAGTACTTTAGAGTTTCAGATTACGGAATCTTTAGGTATCAATGGCCATATTTGAGCAAGAACTGTTAGAATTAAGTACTAGTGCAAACGGTCCACAAAAAGGTTAATTAGCATTATTGATACTTTGGAGCCCAATATTTGTTTTCCTTTTAGACACAAATTGGATCAATACTCAAAATATTAGACCGAGTTTTTTACTTGACCAAGTATTTAAATAATAAACAAATTAAACTCACCTTATGATAATTTCCAACGGGAGATGTGTAAATGAGGAACGTATATTCAGGTGCTGAAGCTACTCCTAAGACAGCACCAGTACCTATGAGTAGAGGCCTAATATACAAAGCTCCTTTACCAGGAGGAGGTACCTAAAAACCAAAAAAATATAATTCGGCAAAATCTTTAGCTCCTTTTAAAGTTTAACAAGAACTAATCACATGAGCTTAGATAGGCCATGCATGCATGCATACCCATTTGTTGTTGGCAAGCACAGTTTGCTTAACAGCTTCTACAAATTGGTCCGGAGAAGGAGGTGTCATACAAAGCCTATCCGCACCTGTTTGCATACGAAGAGCGTTTTGGTCAGGCCGGAAGAGTGTGATCCGTCCATCTTCTGTCCTGTACGCCTTGAGACCTTCAAATAGTCCCTGGCCATAATTGAGAATCCCAGCACAAGGGCTCATTGAAATATCTCCATAAGGAACAATTTCTCCTTCGGCAAAGCTCTCTCCTTGTTTGTATTTCGCCACATACATGTAATCTGTTGGAACCAAACTGAATCCGAGCTCGTCCCATTTCACATCCGCATACTTTTCATCTGCGTCACTACTGTTTTAATGCATGCCACACAATAGAAATGAACACGATGTAAAATAAGGACTCTTATAATTAAGTTATAGCCTAAAGAATGGGTTTTAATTGAAACAAATAAACGTAATTAAGAAAATATTCATTTTTATATAAAAAAAGATGATATATTTTCACCTTGCAAGAAGAGGTGATGAGGAAGGTTGCACCGAAGGAGCCATTGAGTATATAGATGAAGCTAGACAAAGATTGCAAGGAAGTGGTTTGAGATTTGAGAAAAACTAAACACACTTGGCTTTTATAGAGATATAAACAGCAAACAAACCCTTCAAATTACATTCCATCAATTTTTTTAATATGAATTTAGAATCTTCCAACTATACTAATATATTTAAAGACTAACATTTTTGGGTAAAAATCTAAAGACTAAACTTTAGTTGACCCAAAAAAAAAGAAGCTTAAAGTTAAGGACGCGACTAGTTGAAATCCATTGAATGCCGATATGTTTGTAAGTCTTGAAACGTTTTAAATGATTGATGAAGCGACTATATGTGTTGGCAAGATAATCTTTGATTGAGCAAATGAGATAGCACACACTTTGAAAGATCGAGATAAGGGCATCCTCATTGGGGGTATCTTAGCCTCCTAAGATTCCCCCAATGAGGATGGTCTAAGTATAAAACGTTTTACAAAGACATGAACGAAACAAGTTTTACAGTTGATTTTAAACGCGTATATATTATTATTAAACTTAAATCAAAACCGTTCACAATAATCATGTTCACTGGTGTGCTCATAACCAAGAAACTTCTAGCCATCTTTAAAAAAAAACCAAAAGCCAGTCTTTATTTTATATAAACATCTGTCCACCATATGAAACTTATAGAGATTTATCTTTTCTTTGGTGAAGTCAACTATTCTAAATCGATTATATGTAATTGGAATATTACCTAACTTCTTGTTAATTTAATTTAAACCCGAATTACTAAAGTGGTGGATAAAATATTTTATATAATAGACTAGATGGTTGGTCCATATTAAAAATAATAGAATTTATGTATATATAATTTATTTTTTAAAATTTAAAAATGTAAGTTTATTACAAATTTTTACTTTCGTATTAATTTTATAAATTTATGTATGATGGACACTGGACATTTTCATGTATAACCTTTGACTTTCAATATTTATTTGATTTTCGAGTTACGGTTCAATAGTTATAGTATATATATATATATATATGTCATTATTTAATAGTTTCATGTATTCTATATGATCAAGATTCATTTACGATCAAAATAAAAATAAAGTAATTTATGTTAAAGATTTATGTAATTCGACATTACTAAATAAAAAATAATTAATATATATTTCATTAATTTAATATTTTATTGCAACCAGTCTTTTGAACTAAAATCATATATTTTAATTTTTTTTAGATAAATTAATTTTAGTTCTATTATATAAGTATAATACTTTTGTAATTTATAAAATATATTAAATTTGAACACTAATTGCCATACAATATCAATATTTTTTTTAAAGAAAAACTCGTAAAGTTAATTACAAAGCTAACATGTCAATAAACTTGCGAAGATTAATACCTTTAAGTCCCTAAGTAGGAGATGAAGGAAAGAATATGGTTGATTAGGTTTGCTAAAGAAAAGTTTGAAGTTGAACAAACAAATATTGGCCAAATTAGTAGACGATTTTAAGCATATTCCATCCATAGGAAACAAAAAGATATATATTCTTGTTCATCAAGAAATTGATTAAAGATTTAGAGAAGAATGTATTGAACCAAGAAATGAAAGTAAAGTGATGCGATTTTTTAAGTAAATGATCTTAAATGATTCTAGAAGATAAGATTAATCTCATCTCATTCATTGGTTATATAATTCAATTGAGAAAAACTTTAATTATACATTTTATTTTACTTCACGTGTAAATTAATCACATTTTTTGAATAAATATTGTGATAAGAAAATCAAACCAAAAGCCTTAGCGTTGTCAAGTTTTTGTTAATGGTTTATGGTTTACTTGCAGGTTGACTTGCGGCATACGCAAGTGCGGTGGAGACTATATATAAAAAAAAACATTTTTTCTCTTTTTTAAGCTTAAGAACCTCATAATAGCTCATCAATAATGTTTGATAAATTGTGGTTTCGTCTATTAAATTGAGGTTTCGTCTATTAAATTAAATACAAGATTAACAGCAGCTGACAGTTTGGCCGAGTGGTCTAAGGCGCCAGATTTAGGCTCTGGTCCGAAAGGGCGTGGGTTCAAATTCCACAGCTGTCAAATCTTTTTTTTTTTTTTTTTTTAAGTTTTTGTTTCTTTGGTCACAAAATTTTAAGCCCATTTAATGACCATGTCCGCCATAAAACTTATCGGGCATACATGGACGAATCCGTTTACGTCTATTTAATAAACGAGCTTTCACAAAATTAGATATAAACCTCAGGAGAATAAGATAATTGAACCGGACAACTAAACCCGAAATTAAAGGATTAAACCAAGAGTCCAACTGGTTTATCCTCTTACATGCCCCCTTATTGAGTGATGTTCTTGGAGGACTTGAGGGGAGAAAATTGTACCTTAAGATTTATCCATTACATGTCCCCGAATATAGAAAACAAATAGTACTTGAGGGGAGAAAATATAAGTTGACTAATAGAATCATCAGCCTTGACAACGATCGATTTCCACCATCCAACCTTTCTTATCTTCAACAATGCCCATCTGAATATTGGTTAACATCGACCGAAGCTTCGTAGACAGCGCTGCTTCTCCTGTCCTGTATTTTACCCTGCGGTCAAAGTTATGATCCAAATCCAATATCACCATTCGAGAACTGGAAACATTTAAGATTTGATGAAAAGGTCTTTCAATTCTTATGTTTCTGAAAAAGTTAATTACTTCTTGTCATGGAAGGTCACAGTTTCAACAGCTGTAACGACCACTGCAGTCCCTGTGCCGAAAACTTCTTCTGCCTCTAGTAGCTCATCCACAGAAACATCGCGTTCTTGAACCTGTGATACATTTTGAATCACAATCTACGAATCTTGATTACGTCAGAAGGTGTCTATATATGAAAGAGGAGGTGGAACCTGGTAGCCAATGTCACGAGCTAGCTCGCTTATGCTTTTCCTTGTGACTCCAGGTAAAATGGTTCCTGAAGTTGGTGGAGTGGACACAATGTTTCCCTAAAATATGAATGGGTTACTAATGAGTTTTATGCATACGAATCTAAAAATCTTGAAACTCTTCAGTCTTTACCTTGACAATGAAGATATTACATGCACTAAGCTCTTCGATGTTTCTACCAGTTGCTGCATCTAGGAACAGAATATCAGAGAAACCCGATGACTTTGCTTCAAGCAACAATTTCACAACCTTTCAAAATTTATACAAGAAGAAATCAGAGAACTAGATATTTCATAAACCTGTTTCCATGGAAGATGTATATTATATTTCTGGTGTCTCTTTACTTACTGGAGAATAGTTTGTGCAACTCTTGACACCACCCGTTCCACCTGAATGGGCTCGGTGATGCTTATGATCAACTTTGAGGTTCAAGCCTGAGCTCACCTACAAGACAGACAACATCAGTTAACTGTTTCAACTTTGAATTAAAGACTCTTTAGTCAGAGTTTACTTCACGGAGTATTCGAAAAAAATATATACAAACTCACCTTATGGTAACCTCCTACTGGAGATGCATATACGAGAAATGTGGTTTCAGGTGCCGGAGCTACTCCAAGGGAAGCACCGCTCCCTATTAGCAGAGGCCTTATATACAAAGTTCCTTTACCCGGAGGAGGAACCTAAAAAACCAAGAAACCATTACTCCAAAAGATTAGAGCAAATTAGGATGAAGACAAAGAACAGGGGAAGCTAGAGACACATTGGTCCAATAGTCCATACCCATTTCTTGTTGGCAAGCACAGTTTGCTTAACTGCTTCAACGAATTGGTCCAGAGAAGGAGGTGTCATACAAAGCCTCTCGGCACCAGTTAGCATACGAAGAGCGTTTTGGTCAGGCCTGAAAATCCTAATCCGGTCGTCTTCTGTCCTGTAAGCTTTGAGGCCTTCAAAGAGTCCCTACAAAGCCAAACCAACATTGGAAGTTATAGACGCTAAAGTTATAAGCTTTTGCTGGCTATTACACTCAGATCAAACAACTCTACACAATCTAAAGTTATAAGCTTTTGCAGGTTTACACAACCAGAGAAAGCAAATGAACGTTGATTTGGTGAAGTGAGAGCCACAGAGACAGAGGTGTAAGAGAACAAAACGTACCTGGCCATAATTGAGAATAGGAGAACAAGGGCTAATAGAAATATCCCCATAAGGAACAATCTTTCCTTGTGAAAAGCTCTCGCCTTCTTTGCATTTGGCTACATACATGTAATCTGTTGGAGTCAGAGCGAATCCAAGCTCTTCCCATTTCACATTGGCATATTTCTCATCTGATTCACTGTTTATTTCATTTCGATGCATGCCACCAAAAAAAATAACAAATAAGAGTAAAAGATAAATTGGGAATGAAGAAACACGAGATCAGGATACTAGTAATAACCAAAATCATTTGCTGTTATATATCATAAAAAGATGTGACCTTTATTTTACCTTGAAATAGGAAGAGGTGATGAAGCAGGAGCCATAGATGCAGGGAGGCGGAGAAATTGAGAGAGAGAGCAGTGGAGTGAACTGAAGGAGAGAGGCGTGGAGCGGTCACATGGTTGCAGGAGCGTCCTTTTATACTGACAACTGACAAGTGACAACCAACAAACCCTGTCGATTCCTTCATTTCCATGTGTTTATTTTTATAATGTTCTGTATGATTTGGAAATATCATGGGCAGATGAATTTTTAACTATTTTTTCCTTTATAAGGCCAACGACGGCTAAAGTCTAAGCTAAAGGCCTAAAGTGGCAAAGAACGACCGGTCTTCAATTTTTTGTTCGTCTCTTATATAGTTTTCCTTGTTTTTATGCAATGGATTCATTTGTTTTTTTTTTTCCTTCGATTGCATATTTGCATGTCTTACTCTTACACGTTTTGAGAATGCTTTTATTTGTTTTCCTACTATGATCATTTTTCTTCTTCTCAAAAATATAGAATTTTGTCTATTTGTTATATATTTTTCGCTTCTAATATTTTTTTCAGACAAAATTAAATATTTGTTTTGATATATTTACATTAAGGGGGAGTTATTGGTAGAATGATTTTTAAAGATTTTTAGAGTTTAAGATTCCATTGTTATTGGTTTATGGATTCTTAGATTCCTAATAAAATCTCTTGTTATTGGTGTATGTATTTTGTAATTCTGCATACAAAATGAAGTGCATGGAACAGTTATAAACATCACCTTCAAATCGGCAATTTGATGCTACTCAATTTAGTTTTGATGCTACGTATGTGTGTAAATTTAAAATTTTCACTAAAGGAATATTTTACCAACCACAAAAACTGTAGTTTTATTTTTTACTTTTATGTCAAAAAAAGAAGTGGAAATGTATTTTATCAAAAACAATATTAAAAAACATGAGGGGAAATTAACGAGAAAATATCAGAGTTGGAGCTGCGGGTGGTTTACTCTAATATATTTCTTTGACACAATCTCGATTCTAACGGCGGTGGATTTTGTCGCCGGACGTTTGGCGTCGCAGGCTTCTTCCGGCACTGTCTTCCTGCTGATTCCTCTGTTGTCATTCTCAAGGAAAGAAGGCAGAACCTCACTCTCTCTCTCTCTCTCTCTCTGAATTTGACTGAACGAAAGAAACATTGCCTTTGTTCTGGGTAAGTGAAACGATCGTGTTTATCAGTATATAATCTCACAAATTTGTTTTATGATCTGCGCGATTCGCGTCGTCTCCTCTCTGGATCTGAGTTTTGGTTCAAGTAAATGATTACCATTCTTTAGCTACCTTCTACCAATTTAATGTTTTGTGAGATGAAATTGGAACCTGGAATGCTTCAATCCAAGTGTAAGTAGTCATCTTCTTCTCCGTGTCGAACCCCTAATTTCGAGGGCTCATTGCGTTCTCACCTTGGATCTATGTTTAGCTGTTTCCAAACAAACATTGTGGATCGGGAGTTTTTTTTTTTGTTTTGTTTGTTTGTTGTTTTGCATGCTCTGAGTTCTTTATGTGAACTCTAATTCCGTTCATTTTACAGGGTTTATACGTAATTAAAGTTTCATCAAGTCCGCTTCCATGGTTTGCTTTGTGCCTCCGGCGGAATAGTTGTATTGGTTGAGGAACTAAGCTGTTGAAGCGATGCTATCATCAAGGTTCTCGTTTTTGGGGTTTGGGATTTCCAATGAAGCCAATGAATCTGTGGGTGTTTCTGGAAGCAAGCTCAAACCATCTCTAAGTGTGCAGACGGATAAAGATGTGTACAGGCCTGGAGATTCCATATTTGTAACTATTGAGGTGGCTAACTCTCCTGTAAGGGATCATGAAAATGGGGCAGCAAATCCCTCGTTTTTGGTTGAAAAGCTTAGTTTTGAGGTTATAGGACTAGAGAGATTGGACGTTCACTGGTTTTCTACTCAAAAGCTATCACCAGGAAGCAAAGGAAAGAGAGGTATTCAAGAAGCTTTTCTTACTGCAAATGTTATATGTTCTGTCTGTTCATAGAGATTTTTAAAGTGTTGATAAGTTTGGTAATATAGATGTCACAAACATAGACTTGCTCACGATATACATACACACCATTAGTAGCAAGATTGTATCTAGTTAACTTCTGTGGGCTAAATTGTGAGGCTGATATGGGAAACAGAGACATGTGGTTGGGAAAATGGCAAACAAAAAAAGAAGAAGAAGAAACTCAATGGGACATAGCTATAGAAATTAGCATTGAAGTTATGCAATGAGTCTTTTTATGTTTCGTTTATTCAATAGGATCTCAGCCTTTCATGTTTCTTTCTTTAGAGACATTATGTAAATTGCATTCACTGCACCAACAAGTTTGAGGGAGCTAAAGAATATTAGGCTCTTTGCCATCGATTTGTAATTTTGTATTGAGGTGCACTAATCATATATTTTTCTTGGAGATTTTCAGGAAAACGCATCTTCCTAGACAGTTCAACACCATCTTTGGTTTCAAATCAACTTCTATCCCCTGGTGCTAAGATGACATGTAAGCTTGCCTGATTCCTTCTCTAATACTGTATGAATAAGAATAATAACATATACAATGCTTGATGCTGGCGGCACGGGCTTATAATGTCAACCTTTAAGCTGACAGATTCTTTGTTTGTAATTTTCATTACAGTAATGGTTCGTGCTATACTCCCACAGATTATACCACCTTCTTATAAAGGTGCTACTTTAAGTTACATTTACTACATTAAGAGCACATTGTGCGGAAGATGGATGGCATTAGAAAACAGTCAATTTTACAAAGACTCGACAAAAGATTTCATTGAAGTGGTCAGTTAACTTGAATTTCCGTGTTCTCTATAGGTGATATATGTGCAAGACATTGTGTTTCGTTTACTCTGGTTGCTTGAACGCACTATGTTTTCTATTCTTCTAAGTAGAAAGCATATAAACTGGGGTAAATACAAACATCACTCTTGTGTTGCAACACGTCTCATGGTTCTTACAATAGTAATAAGTGAGGCGGCATCCTTGGGTTTTAGGTTGCTTGATGCCTAATTGATGATAGAATCACACAACTTTGGATGAGTTATTCTACATTCTTAGTTCATTTAGTTTGTTGTTTCTCTGTGGCGATGCGCCAGGGTTTCTGGGCAAAATATGAAGTTGAAGCATGAGGTGTAGAGCGTAACTTAGTCTAGAAGTTGAAGTATGAGCCATGCAAACTACATAGTTTGTTTCCTTTGGCCCATTTGTCACGTTAGTGAGTTTAGAAGTTCAGTCAGTTGATTATAACATCTTTTTGATAAGTATAGTTGATTCTTTCTGGCATCAAAATAACCTTGCTCCCCATAAATTGAATGCCCTACAAATTCTGGAGTGGGTCTACGACTTAATCATGGTTATATGTCACAACCGAAAGTCAAATTACATGCCTCCTATGCCTGATTCTTGATAGAAAATATTAAGTAAATGCATTTTGTGATACCTCTTATTTTACTGAAGTATTATATATTTTCACCCTTTTCCACTTGTGTTTTCTAATTTAGCTGTTAAATTTGACTCCTATAATCTTGTTATTCACCAACAGGAGACACGAATACCATTACAAGTATGGGTAATTCAGAAGAACAATGGGCTGCTATTAGAGGAAGATCGAATCGATGGTAAGATTTTCTCTAAAGTTTTGATTGGGAATTTTAAAACAGAATTCAAACTCTGTTTATTTACAAGAAAACAAGTTACAGGATATCGGAAAGTTATTTTTCCCCCCTTAGTTTGACATTAATGGTGCAACCTGATAGGGGCTCTTAAATTTCTTTCAGGGATTGTTCCAACCAGTACCATTCAGACAGAAATATATTGGAAAGAGATGGATGGAGACTCAGAATGGGTATGGCATGTCACAACTGTGAATGTTTATCTTTTACTTTTTCATTTTTGATTTTTAGTTGTTATATACGCATTGGTTTCATTTGCATGCTGGTCAACATGAGAACAATAAACAAAAATGAACTTGATGTAGACTAGAGCAAATGACGCATATGATAGTGGTGAGGATGGATATGACAGTTCACGTGACGAGATCTCATCCGTTGTTTCCAATCCCAAAAAAGGCAATTTAAACAGAACGTTTGGTAGTTCATTGTCCTTGAATTCTGGACCGCGATTATCAATGAAAGACACGTCATATGTTGAAGAACGTGTTGGATCATCTCCAAAGATGCTGCTTTCTCAGTTATCAGCTGCCATGGTGTCTTATGATTCCGGAACCGGTTAGTGATTATTTGCAAGTACATGCCTAAAACAGTATTTTGATGGTGTCATTAAGAACCACTCACTTAGCCTCTCTGTTGTTTGGTGACAAGATTAGGAAAGCTGATTTCATTACGATAAGTGTCTGTGTCTTAACAAAAAGGCTGGTTTCAAACTGTAATGCTGAACACGTTGCTGTTCTCAAATACCAATAAACAGTTGATGGAAAGATGCAATTTCGAAAATTTTTCCATCATCTATTTTGTTTATCAGCTCTATAATATTCGTGAAGAAGGAAGAGATTAAGAATACTTGTCTTTTTTTTCCTTTTAGATGCCTCTTCGCCTCAAAAATCATCAAATTCTGTGGTCCCGAGCCAACTACCCAAGCAGGCAAATGGTGCAGGTGCATCTATGTCACCTGAAGCTGAAGCTAAAGAACCAGTTCCATGTAAACTACTCCTCATTTGCAGTCATCGCTTGTTTGTAGATTATGCAAGTAGCTAATTATTCAGATGCAATAATTTCTTGCAGCAGAAGGATTTACAAGAGGAAGATCTTACAACATTAGAATGGACGACCAAGTCCTTCTTAGGTTTTCCCCAAAGAATGCCGACTCTACTTATTACTTCAGCGATACTGTAATTGACTGTTTCATCTCTACCCACATTCTTGTAAACATTCCCCGCATCTTACAACATGTTCCATGAATGGTAATTTTATTTTGCAGATAGGTGGAACTCTTACATTCTTCCATGAAGAAGGAGCCAGAAGATGCCTTGAGGTACATCCTTACCAGACAACACATTCTGCTATATCGAGGTCTATTGGATCTGATGATCTATATCTGTTTCCAGGTCTCGGTTACTCTAGAAACTTTAGAGACAATAAACAGGAGAGTTGTTCATCCATCAAGGAGAAATTCTCCAACGCTTACTAAGGTACAAATGCAGTGGAGTATAATTTGGCGATGGATATTGTTTCTTCTCTTTTTCTGCTGGATGCGATGTCCTTACAATTGCAATCTTACTACCCCATTTGTTTTTCCTCAAAAGGTACAAAGCGATCACCATGAGGTAGTGGCAGACCTTATTCAAACCAGCTTTCTTTTTTCAATTCCCACGGATGGTCCAATGTCGTTTTCTACACCCCATGTATCTGTGCAATGGATTCTTCGGTTTGAGTTCCTAACTACTCCAAAGAATGTGGACTTAAGCAGGTATTACTCCCAAGACCCAAAACGGATTTCTACTGCAAAGATTTCATTCTCTGGTTCAGTCTTTTGAAGTGCTCAAGTTATTAAGTCAGTTTCTGGTTCTGTTTTGTGGTAATTACAGGTACGAACATCCGTTGTTGGTACAGGAACGGGAAAAAAGCGAATGGGTTCTTCCAATTACTGTACATGCACCGCCACCTCGGACGTCAGGTGCTCAAAACCGTGGAGATAAGCTTTTAGGTTTGGAGCCGTCTTGGATTCGTAGCTGAACCACGCTTTTTGGTGAGATATTCATTTTGGTAAATCATTTTTCAAATAGTTTCTGGTGTCTGGTCTAGAGATCACCTCATGCAATAATTTTTTTTTTTTTTTTTTTTTTGCTGACTTTTAATAGTTTTTTTAATGAGAAAGTGAACCACAAATCTACAGTATTTTGTTTAATTTTTTAATATCTAGTTTATTAAAAGAAAAAACAATATTGTGCTTCAGTTTACTGTATATTTATTTTTCTTTTGCTGTCTTTTGATAGAGATGTTAAATCTTTAACCACAAACTGTTTCTTATTTAAGGGTTACTTGCAGTCAATTCATCATTTTGGAGGCATTAAGTAACTAAATGTTAATGTTTGTATCAAGGAAGTATGAGAAAAAGTTGTAGAAAAAGGGTAAGAGGAAAATAGGCCTCATGGATGAATTAAAACCTCAAAAATATCGCAACAAACACAATTGATCAGAGTCGTGTTAGGTTGTGAATCCGACTCTCTTTGTTCTGTTACATATTGTAGAAAGTTTTCTTATCATTATAATCAAATCTGTAAGAGACTTTTCTAATTTTTGTAAGTTGAAAAACTGTGACTGATAAAATCACACCTTTTGTCTGTTAAGAAAAATTAAGAAAAGAAATCACAGCTTCTGAAGTGGAATTTCAAAGGATTTCCAAAAGAAAGAAAAAAGTGACGAAACAATGGCATCTTCCACCGGTCACAACGTCACCAGAACTCTGCTTTGTCGGAGATTTTGGATTACCAGCTCTATTCTCTCAAATATCTACGAGGACTTCGTCTTACTTGGCTTTAGCAATAGCATGTAAACCAAAGATTCCTTTGCAGTATATTAGTCTTACTTGGCTTTAGCAATGGCGAATGTGAATATTAATACTAACGTTGTTATCCATCTGCCGCAGTTGCTGTTGAATTGGCTAAAGTTGCGAGTGACGTGAAAGCTGGTGACATTTAGGTTCTTTTCATGAAGCCTTCGTTTTTTTCATCATAGCCACTGCGTTTTCCGGTCCTTAAATCGATGTAATTGGCTAGAGAGCTGTTTGGATTTTCTGACGTTGGCTATGCTATTGTCCATGTGATGATCTTGATTGGATAATGGTGCTTCTTTGTTACCATCATCGCTAATGGCGCCTTCATGATGTTGAGTCTGTGATGAGAGATTGTGTACTATACTAATGATATCCTCTGATTCTTTCTTTATTCTCCAGGTTCCCACATGGGATTTTCTGGTATGGAAGGTTCTACTTTAAGCAATGCTCCATAAAGTTGCAACGTATAGGTATGGGACATCAGTTCGTCTTATTAATAGAGATAGTGCTTGATCTTTGCTTTAAGTTTTTTTTTTTTTTTTCCGTGATACAGAGAACTTCTCTTTGACTAGTTTCTCTGCTATAAAATAAAAATCTATTCTATATTGTAAAATATGTTGAAATTAATATATAGGAGATTTCATCTGATCTAAAAATTTATTAGAATTAAAATATTGAAAATTATAGCTATTAGGATTCCTAGACTAGAGAGTATTTACTATTTCTCTGAAAAGAAAAATGTAAAATCTCCAAAACAAATTGGAAAAAGGAAAAAATACAATTTCTCCAAAAATTGGAAAAAGGAAAAATACAATTTTCCTAAAAATATTTTGATAACTTTTACGTAGAATCTATGCGATATATATATTACTCTCCTTCTCGACAAAGCTTCCCTCTCTCTCTCTCAGTTTCAGAAAACAAAGTGATTCCTAAACATAGTCTCTGTCAAATCTCCAATTGCTTTCTCGGTTTCTCAGTCGACTCTATTGGTGATTCCTGCAAGTTCAAGGTATTATTGTAAATCTCTTCTCTTTTCTTTTTTCCTCCAAAAGAGGGACTTACTGGAATTGCTCTTGTTACCGTGATCATTCATCTTTCTATGAGGTTTGTTTTTGGTTTCATCTTTCTACAATATCTGAGGTTTGTTTTTGGTTTGGACAGGCACTGTCGTAACTTAATGGCATCTGAATCCAAAAGCTCCTCTAAGAGTAAGACATGTAAGAGAGATCGTCTTCTTGAGATTGAGGTAGCTGTTCGAAAGTGGTGGGAAGACGAGGATGTATTCAGGGCTGAATCTCGTGAGAATCTTCCAAAGCCAGGGGAAAAGTTCTTCTCCACTTTCCCTATCCCCTATATGAATGGTTATCTACACATTGGGCATACCTTCTCTCTCTCCAAGGTTGATTTTGCTTGTGCTTACCATAGACTAAGAGGTGCCAATGTGCTTCTTCCTTTTGGTTTCCACTGTACTGGTATGCCGATTAAGGCTTCCGCGGATAAGCTTTCTCGTGAGATCCAACAGTTTGGAAACCCTCCTGTGTTCCCTGCTGATGGTATGCTTACCAACCAAGCTCTTCACGTTCAGGAGGAGAGTAGTGATGCACCAGCTTTACCGGGTCAGTTCAAGGGAAAGAAGTCTAAGGTGGCTGCGAAATCTGGTGGACAGGTTTATCAGTGGCAGATTATGCGCAGCTTTGGTCTTACTGACAGTGAGATTGAAAGATTCCAAGATCCATATGAATGGTTGTATTACTTCCCCCCTCTGGCTGTTGAAGATCTCAAGGCATATGGTTTAGGCTGTGATTGGAGACGCTCATTCGTGACTACTGATGTTAATCCCTTTTTCGATGCCTTTGTGAGGTGGCAGATGAGGAAGTTGAAATCTATGGGAAAGATTGTCAAAGACCGCAGGTACACAATTTTCTCACCTTTAGATGGCCAACCTTGTGCTGATCATGACCGTGCTACTGGTGAAGGTGTTCAGCCTCAAGAGTACACTCTCATTAAGATGGAAGTAGTGAAGCCATTTCCTCTGAAACTGGTCCCTTTGGAAGGAAAGAGAGTGTTTTTGGCTGCAGCTACTTTGAGGCCTGAGACCATGTATGGACAAACAAACGCTTGGGTACTACCTGATGGTAAATATGGAGCTTATGAAATCAGTGAAACTGATGTCTTCATCCTCACAGAGAGATCTGCACTCAACCTTGCCTACCAGAAGTTCTCAAAGATCCCTCAGAAACCTTCCTGCTTGGTCGAGTTGACCGGGCATGATCTGATTGGACTCCCTCTGAAGTCTCCTCTGTCAGTGAACGAGATCATCTATGCTTTGCCCATGTTAACGATTCTGACCAACAAAGGTACTGGTATTGTCACCAGCGTGCCTAGTGATGCCCCTGATGATTACATGGCTTTACATGATTTAAAAGCAAAGCCTGATCGTCGAGCAAAGTATGGTGTGAAAGATGAGTGGGTACCCTCTGATATCGTGCCCATTATCAACATTCCAGAATTTGGGGATAAGGCTGCTGAAAAGGTCTGCATGGATCTGAAAATTCAAAGTCAAAATGATAAGGATAAGCTTGTAGAGGCGAAGAGGTTGACTTACCTGAAAGGATTCACTGAAGGAACCATGCTTATTGGGGAGTTTGCTGGTAGGAAAGTTCAAGAAATCAAGCCCATTATCAAGTCAAAGCTCATAGAGTCTGGTGAGGCTATCGTGTACAGTGAACCCGAGAAGTCAGTGATGTCAAGATCGGGTGATGAATGTGTTGTGGCTCTTACAGATCAGTGGTACATAACGTACGGCGAATCAGAATGGCGGGAAATGGCGGAGGAATGCTTATCAAAAATGAATCTCTACTCTGAAGAAACAAAGCATGGCTTCGAACACACTTTGAGTTGGCTCAATCAGTGGGCTTGCTCACGGTCTTTTGGTCTAGGAACTCGTATTCCCTGGGATGAACAGTTCCTTGTGGAGTCCTTATCTGATTCATCTCTTTATATGGCCTATTATACAGTTGCCCATATCTTTCACGACGGAGACATGTATAAAGGCAGCAAGTCATTGATCCGTCCTCAGCAGATGAATGATGAAGTTTGGGAGTATCTCTTCTGTGATGGTCCGTACCCAAAATCAACAGATATCTCGTCAGCTGTTTTAAGTAAGATGAAGCAGGAATTTGACTACTGGTACCCGCTAGATCTTCGGGTTTCAGGAAAGGATCTTATTCAGAATCATTTGACTTTTTTCATCTACAACCACACTGCACTAATGGACAAACGTAACTGGCCACGAGGCATCAGATGTAATGGTCACATTATGCTCAACTCTGAGAAAATGTCGAAGTCAACCGGAAATTTTAGAACCCTGCGCCAGGCTATGGAAGAATTCTCTGCCAGTGCTACAAGGTTTTCTTTGGCTGATGCTGGTGATGGTGTTGACGATGCAAATTTTGTATTTGAAACTGCAAATGCTGCAATTTTGAAGCTGACGAAACAGCTCGAATGGATGGAAAAAGTTCTGGCTGTCGAATCCTCTTTGAGGACGGGACCTCCATCTACATATGCTGATAGAGTGTTTGAAAATGACATGAACATTGCTATCAGATTGACTGAAAAAGCTTACAAAGGTTGTTTGTTTAGGGAGGCACTTAAGATTGGGTTTTACGACTTACAAGCTGCTCGAGATGAGTATAGACTTTCTTGTGGCAGTGACGAAAATATGAATCATGACCTGATACTGAACTTCATGGATGTGCAAACACGCCTCATTGAACCAATCTGTCCCCAGTTTTCAGATTATGTATGGAGGAAACTTTTGAAGAAGGAGGGTTGTGTGGTAACAGCAGGCTGGCCTACATCAAATGAGCCAGATTTGGTTCTCAAGAGTGCTAACAAATATTTGCAAGATTCTTTAGTCTTAATGAGAAAGCTTCTACAAAATCAGCTCCCAGGTTCCAAGAAGGCTGCTAAAAAAGGTGTTCAAGTGCCAGAGCGGAAGTTAAAAGGCCTATTATATGTGAATGAGCAATTCGATGGATGGAAAGCTCACTGCCTCATGATCCTGCAAAGGAAATTTAACCAACAAACCTGTCGTTTTGCCCCTGATGAAGAGATACTAGAAGAAATAACAGAGATATTGCAGAAGGAGGGAATAGTAACAAGCAAGACAGATGCTAAGAAGCTCTGCATGCCTTTCGTTAAATTCAAGAAGGATGAGACAATATCTATTGGCACTCAGGCTTTAAATTTGAGATTGCCGTTTGGAGAGATTGATGTCCTTCAGAGTAACATGGACTTGATCAAGCGGCAACTTGGTCTTGAAGAGGTTGAAGTATATTCTGCAGATGACCCTGATGATGTTTCAAAAGCTGGTCCACATGCTTCACTGCTGGAGCAGATTCGTCCTCCATCTCCGGGCAATCCTACCGCCATATTTGTGACCAGGTAAAGGCTATTTATTTCATTACAATTGTTTCCTAGTAAAAGCACTAAGAAGCATGGATATTCCTCTTGTTTCTCGTCAACTAACTGAAATCTTTACCGCTCCAGCACAAATGTCTCCCCTGCGGTTTAAAAGTGTTGTGCCCATAGGGAATCATCTCTCTCTGCATATCTTCATGTAAGTAACATCTCTTTCTATTTGACATTCAACTCTATTGTTTTCTCTATTTGCAGTTTCTGGTCTTTTTTTGTTGGATGTTATAGCTAATCTGAATCCTACCTTTCATATATGATAAAGTGCATAGAGTATATTTCCAAAAGAAGAAGCAGAGGACTGGAGCTTAAGGGGAGGTTTACTCGCGTGTGAAGGCAGATGCGTATCCCTTGGTCAACAAGCTGCACGTGAGAAGAGATTACTGTGTATAAATAAGGATTGAAGGAGGATTAAGAGGATCATGCTGAGTATGATGAGAGATGATTAGTCGCTATGAGACTACTCAGGAAGAGATGGATCTGAAGGGCTGCTGAAGATCCAGATCTTATCTTTCATTTATTCTTCGTAAACTTTGTAATCTGAGAGCTTGTGAGAGATTAAAATCTTAATACTCTTTTTATTCAGTGTTGTTGAGTACACAGACGCTGAGAAAATACAGTTTGTGTCATTGAACGTTGAAGGTGAGGCTCTCTGTTGGATCAAGCCTGTTGCGATTTCAGTTTAAAATTGTATGTATGATTTGGAAACGTCAAGGCTCCATCAATGATACCAATACTAATTTCTGATTCTGAACTGCTTTTGGCAAAAGAATTGGTTCAGGAAGCAGATTCAACTAAGGAGGAGACTGTTAAGTCTGAGCTTGAGTTGGTTCCACAAGAAGAATTTTTATGTAGTGTTGATTTATGCTAAGCTCTTGATGATTTCTCATCTAAAGTTTTGCTGACAGATCAAGTGCAGCCCAAATCTGGCCTTGTTTTTGAGGAGTTAAGCTCTGCTTTTGACATCAATCTGCTGTGTGTTCGTCAAGAGTTAAAAAAACATGTTTTACATGTCTCTACAGAGGTTAAATATGGTGAGAAATCAACAGATTTCCAGTTCAGACCTGATGCAGACCAAGTGTTCGTTGACATGATTGTTCAAAGGCATAAGCAGAAGAAGGGGAAAGTTTCAAAGTCTTGGAAATTTAAGTTCAAGATCATTTATGAGATAAGAGATTGGATACATGAGCTGTTATTGTTTGATATAGGTGGAGTTATTGCAAAGCTTCATCATTTCAAGTAGGGCTGGTCATCACTATGAACAAACTAGTTCTTTGGAGGAAGTACAAGACTGATAAGTTAACAGCTATAAACTCCACTCTTTTTGCATATCCATTGTTTGTTAGAGTGTTGATTAGTGAGCAAGCCTTACAACTACAACAAACAAAAATGTGTCAAATCATGGAAATTTTAAGTTTAAAGACATGCTAGAGAGTAGAGACACGATTTTTGATTGAGGAACAATTATCACATCCAGAAGAAGTGGCAGAAACATTGCGACCTTCTGAGGATTGTTCTGATCAGTCTTCAGTCAAACGCAAATTGGTGCTGTTCATAAATGCAAAGATGAAAAACAGAGCTACATTATACAACCAAAAAACAAAGCTTCAAATCATTATACAAAAATTTAAAACAGTCTGCATCAGATAACTATAGAATTAAGACCAGCTGCCATTAGGTTACAGGGGATCTAAAATGAAGAGGAGATTGGCATTCTCTGCAAACAAGGATATCAAGAGCAGTGAGGAAAACTATGGCAGTTTTCAGAGACAAGAAGTAAGACACGTTCTTTTGGACTTTATGAAGTGTTGGAGCAAGTGAACAAAGGTGCTTATAGACTGAGGTTTTTTATGATAGAACTGGTGGACTTATTGGAAACTCAGTCTACAACTAAGGGTCTCTTGAAAAGCTTGATCAGATGGACAGAACCTCGAGTGAACACAATAGATTTCCTCTTTTAATAACACAAAGAATTGCAGGGTGTTATTTCTCTTTAATGATTTGGAAGTGAAACTACACTATTTCTGATTTTCTTTTTTTAGCAGCATAGTTTGCTAAAATTCACGGGGTTCCGTGTCCATTATAGTTTACATCAAATTTGAAAATGATACTAAAAAGGATATAGCACTGAGGGTTACAACATGATCACAAAGTAAAAGACATGAGAAAACACTTTGATCTACCAAAACTAACAATTTCTTCAGAAGCCAAAAGGAGACTTAGTCCTGCTCCCTCCTTCACCATATTGCTCGTTCCATTTTCTCAACTCATTCATAGTGGTTGCGTCATACGCCACAGATGGGCTCACCTGCAAAATCACGTTACCCATACAACATATTTGTGAATCATCGATAATGCAAAAGTTGAAAAACACAAAAAAATCTAGATACATCTCTAAATTACCTTAGCTTTAGACTGAATGAAGTCATCCAAACTCAGCGACCGTAGACCAGGAGAGGCTTCTGCTCTTGCACCCTAAAGACTCAAACGAGGTAAATAATCAAGCAAAAAGCTATGGAAGTGACCCGTCTATGTTTAATGCAATCTGGGTTCTGTACCTTTTGCTCTTCTTGTAACAGTTCTTGAACAGGCCTGTACGCAGCAGCAATGCATAGATTCTGCAATATAAATCCACGAAAGAAACGAATATGAATAAAGAAAGAACTTACAAGTGCCGCTGTGTCGGCACAAGCTGGGAATAAGAAAACGGATACCAACCTTTAGATCACTACCGGAATAACCTTCAGTTTCCTTTGCAAGTTTGTCGAACTGGAAACCGGATTCCAAATTTTCAGGAGTTAGAAATATTTTCAGTATCTTTAACCGGTTCTCGGCATCAGGTAAGTCAACATATATCCTAGAATTCACAGGGAATAACAAGCTTTCAATTCGACAAGGATTCACAGTTCACCATTACAAGAAAATACAAACTACAATCTCCACAAATGCAAATGGAAGTCAAGTCAGATGTTACCGTCTTGGTAGACGACGAATCACAGCATCATCAAGATCAAAGGGTCGGTTGGTGGCACCGAGAATGAGGATCCTTTGGCTGTCTTTTGACCTGAGCCCATCCCAAGCTGCCATGAACTCATTCCTCATTCTTCTGGTAGCTTCGTGTTCGGACGAGCCACCACGAGCACCTAAAAGACTGTCTATCTATTAAACAAACATAATTCCGGTCAGTCACATTTACTTATCATCAATCCAGTTTAGTGCGGACATGATAAAGAAAATGAATCCTAGATACAAAATTCTTACCTCATCAACAAAAACAATTACAGGTGCTAGCTTGGTGGCAAAGGAAAAGAGAGCTTTAGTGAGCTTCTCTGCATCTCCGAACCACTATACCAAACAAGGAATATAGACAAGGCAGAGTAAGATCCAATTAAAAATTATCACGCAGAGCATAGTTGGAGTATCATAAATCATTTATGGCATTCTAATTACTACATTTACCCTAAAAGACAAGTGTATCAAGACAAGCCCTATGGGTGAAGTGTAATTGTAATGTTGATTAATCTTCTTAATTAATTGAAACATGCATACAAATAGAAAAAAACCACTGTTATACGGCATAGTCCATTTACCTTTGATGTAAGTGTTGAGCCTGTTATGCTAATGAAATTTGCTCCAGCTTCTGTCGCAAGTGCCTTGGCGAGGAGTGTCTTACCCGTTCCAGGAGGACCAAAAAGCAATATTCCTTTACAGGGCTGAAAAAAGGTCATGTCATCAGAATTCAGGATTATCAGCCAAGTTGAACAAAAGTACCTGACCTAGAAAAAAAATGATATGTTTCAAAGAGAATGCAATACCCGCAAGAGATTCCCACGTGAGAAAAGCTCTGGCCTTCTCATGGGGAGAATAACCAGCTCACTTAATGCCCTTTTCACGTCTTCGAGCGCCCCAATATCTTCAAATTTAACGCCTATTTCTCCAGGAGCAACCACAGCCGAGACAAAATTTCTTTCATACTCATCCTTAGCAAGATTCTGCAATACATTGTCTGTTAACATCATTGTCACTCAAAGGTACTCAAGATTCATATACCATCCAAGGCAGGAAAGTAACCTTCAAGTTTTGTGAGGGCTTTAGGGAATTATCTTCTAATTTTCTTAACCTCTCAATTGATATTTCAAGGCTTGAAAAAAGGGTAAAAAGTAGTGAGTTAAAAAAAAGTTACAGAACCAAAAGATATAGCCACTATCATATGTACCTTTCACGAGGCAGAGACAAGCGGCCACCTTTAACCAATGGGTCTGGACAAGAAGCTAAATAGTGATTTTTGGCCCAGCCAATAACCTTTTCTGCTTCTGCAAAAATACATTCACAAGTTTCTGAGGTCTCTTCTTCATCATATAGATATTTTCATTTTAGAAAGCCACAGGGTAAAAGTCAAATTTTTGCAACAGCGGAAAAAAAAACAGCAGATATCAAACGTCAAGTACAAGAATGGTTTCCAATCTCAACTAAATCTAATCAGAAGATTAAATAAACATCTCTTAATGAAAAGTGAGCAAGCAGTTCAAGGGAGAATAGAGGATCTAAGAGTGTGCTCATAGGTAGCTCCTATTCTCAAATGTTTTGCATTCGTATCCAACAGCCCGATTCTAACCTTCTAAGTATAAGATTAACTGCCACTGTACATGATAGAGAGGAATCGCCAGTACAGACAAAGAAGTGCTTGAATTCTCTATTAGCAATTATAAATACAAAACAAACCAAGTATTTCCATTCTGAGTTACGCACTTTGGTTTGTCAATATCACCCCATCAGTGTTCACTTGATATAAGTCTGTGCATAATAACTCATGTTCTTCAAGTGCCTGGGAAAGGGTACATTACGGGATAAAATAATTACTGAAGACATTATACACTCAACTAAGTGTTTCTCACTGAATTTTATTTTAGATTTACGTACCCTTAGTAACTCATTTATATTGCTCCGTGATATCACAATTCTCCTATCTTCTCCTAGTTGTTTGTTGAATAGTCCGAGGGTATCTTCCTCCTACACCAACATTTTACAGGAAGGAAGTTGATGTATGACTCCTACCCTTAACATGTATACTTGAAGAAACAGCTAATGGAAGTAGCTTATCCTTTGCTAAAATAGGATAGAACGTGGCAAAGGAGCTTTGCAAAAGCATACATGCGTCACAGACTCAAAGGTGTATGTAACTCTTAAAGAGACTTTGAGACAGATATATTGTCAAAGCAACTTACTCAAACTAGCCTATGCTATCTCACCAAGGTATAACAACATATCTACACCTCCTCATTCATTATCTAAAGTCATACAGAAATAGTTCACTCTTAATTTAATAGAACTTTTCCTCAGACATCAGGCAAACCTTTGGAGGATGTAGGCGCATGACGTTAGTGAATAGCTTATATATCTCATTCTCCTCTGATTTTTTCCTTCCCGTGAATCCCTCCGTTAGGCACTTCAAGGGAAGAGGCTGCAACACACAAACATTTAAAAAACTTTTTAGTCAATAATATCAAGACGAGCATGATAACACAAGGGATGTCGTTTTAAAATGCAGATCGACAAACCTTTTAAGAGTCATATCAAGGAAAATGGACAGTGCGAACCCACATTTACAGTCTTAAACATGTTGCAAAAAATTATGCAAGAAACGTGACTAATTCACAGCTGCCAAGTAACATGTGTGCAATATGTTGAAAAACTTGGAAGTCCATTAGACTTTTTTTATCAAGGGACAACAGAGGGATAAGAAGAATCTCCGCAATTCATGCAAAGAGCACGTGTACCATGATTATTAAGAAAAATACATATATCAATAAAAAAGGCTACTTTAATGTTTAACTTACCAGCTTCGCAAGTCGACTAAAGTTTGGGAGTACCATCGTCTGTTTTCAGTAAATAGTAACTTGTTCATCGACTTATCAGAGAGAAATGCTGAAGAAAAAACAATGACAAGGGAGTGAGAGAAAATGACAGGCTTACAAATTTCTCTCTTTCCTTTGAGCCTGTTTCTATCTTGTTCTGCCCACATATCATAACAATCGGACCTGATATTTTGTTAAACATTTCCTGAACTTTGTCTACAAATTCTTTTCGTCTCGCTTTAGGCACAGCTCTAGACAACCACTGCGAAGTGTCTGGAAAATAGACTATTAGTGGTTGAATGGATTGCAAAACCTACAAAGACAAGAAAATAACGGTATAACTGTAGACAACAATTCAGATATACTTTTTATAAATAAAAATACACAGAGTTATCCACAGTATAAGAATAAAGGAACATTCAACATCTTTGAAACAGTTAATAATTTTCAATGTTTATGCTGCTAGAACTTGGTCACAGTTTTCAGCACATCAATTAATTAAAAGACCCCTTGATGGGAAAATGTTAAATCAGGATACTGGCTAAACAGAGCACAGCTTCTTTTTGAATATAGATATATATGCACTTCAATAAAGTCCAACTAAATTAAAAATTTCTGGACACTTGCTACTGCTGGAGTATCATCTTCTGAAACATGAAAATATAAAACTTACACATGTACTAGCTGAAACTAGTACAGGAGTAAAGCCACAACAGAACAGTCAGTGTAACTTTTATACCTCGTTTAAAGCCTCCATAGCAATGTAACCATCTACTGCCTGCATATCCGAATCGTACTTGAGGTCTTTCACTGCGTAATAAAATAAATATTACTTAGCTACATTTAAATCGAGTGTATTTTTAAATAGCAAGTAATTCACTAGATTCAAAAGTATCACACATTAACAATCGGAATATACTAAGAAGCAATAAGCAATTATACCATCTACCCAATGGATAGGTAACATCTGGGGCTTCTCTGCTGAGTTTTTCTCATTTCCCTCTGTAGTTTTATCATCACCACAATCAAATATGACAGCAACACGGTTCCCACTCACCTCGTATACCTCTCCACGTTGTCCACTAGATAATGGCCTGAAAGTTTATACACTCTGATTAAGATCTGAAAAATCTTCTGATTTCGCTAAATGTTACAGAAGGAGTGCACATAATGGAATTCCCCACTTTCACGCAAGTCAAAATACAAAAATCATATATGGCATACTGTCATTAGAAATACAAATATCATGAACGAAGGGTATGTGATGATGATATTCACAACCAAACAAAATCCATTCAGTAATTAACAAAACTACAACGGTGATTGGGAGAATTGTGAATGGCATTGTACATCTCGTAAGAACAATTTCTAGAAAAAAATGCAGAGAGGAATCAACGAATACATCAGAAGGCAACAATTGTAAAGAAGTTTGCCTCACATCCAACGTTATGCCTGAACTATTCATACCCAAAGCCCTGATGATTTCAGAAGGTAGATGCAACTTCCTTGGAACAATAGTAATTATCGACTTGTAGTTGATGAAATAATTACTATCAACACCACAATGAAGACCAAGAGCCATAGACTAAACTAATATCAGACCGATGTATCGTAGAAGATATTCAATCCCCTGAATTCAATACCCTGGATTTACAAGATGATATTTTATAATCCTCATACGTTTTTCATAGTTCAAAACTTCTACTACTAGTTGTCAACCCTTCACAAGCTTACACAACTCGACAGGTATAGTGACAAAGCATGTAGTTACCAATAAACAAAATAAATGATCAAAGTTCTAGAGAAAGCCAGATTATGAGATGTATTAACTGATATGTAATACATCTCTGATCAGCTGTCAGAAGTACAAGAGATTTAAGACTTGAACTCAAATAAAAAAAAGAAGGCCAATCCTGGTTCCAGTCCTATGGGTGGAAGCAATATGAAAAAGGAAAAAACCTTGGAAGAAAAAAGAAAAACCTAAAATACCAATTGACATTATCAAAATTTCACACTAGATGACTTACCAACCCACCTGCCAGGAATAACGGTAAAAGCACTCTTTTGACCATCAGATGTAGAAATCTTCCCCAATACGACCCTGTGATCCATTTACAAGCCAACAAAAGATAAGGATGAAATCATAACTCTAGATTTGATTGGTGGAAGAATTCTCTAGCATATATCACAAATAGGGACTGTGCCAATTCCCAACTCCGGGATATTGCAGTATGAAGCCTTTAATGCTTTATGCCAAATATTTAGGTCAATCGTAAACTTGCTTCAAGACTACAAAACACATTCAACTACAGGTTCACAAACAAGTATAGACATTCATTACGTATTTTAGACAACAAAATTATGTCAATACAAATCTATACTAAAACCATGCACATGGAGGAAATACTATCCATACAGGAAACATGATGCCACAATTAACTGACAAACAAAAATGGAGCACAGCGCCAATCATTGCTCAATCCTAGGGGTGAATGAGTCAACAACTATAAAGCTGTATAATACATCACAGTTTTGAAGCAAGTAAACCATCAATATACTACACTTATAAAGCTAAGTACCAATTTACCTCGGCTTAGATACAAACAAAATCAATGATTAACATATGAAAGACGAACAACAAGCCTAACCTATGGCTGAAAGGATTAACTAGATCACCAGAGAAACAAACTTTTATGATAATTCATGCTACAAAGGGGTGTAAGCTCTAAAAAGAACCATGCGACGAAAGGGATCACACGAAAATGAAGACATATCAAATATCGTTTCTCCAACATCATGCAAAAGTTTAACATCTAGTTTCTGCCATATATATGCCAATGTCCTAACATGTGTTAGATAAAATCTTGCAAAGAACCCCATTCCAGTAGAGCTATATCCAGGCAAAAATTTAAATCTTTTAGCACAAATAAAGGGAAAACAGATTCCCACAGAAGTAATTCAGTAAATTACCTATGCTTTGCTTCGTCCTTCTTAGGAGACCCAACATACTTTACTTGGTCTCCTGCAAATACGTGGAAAGATTAAAAATTTGGAATGAAAAAGGAAAAATTTGAAAAGTTAAAGGCTAATGAAATACAACAGAAAGAAAAATAAAACTAGATACAACGTTATTCAAACATGTCAGGGCCATTGAGAAAATGGATACATTAAAAAGAACATCCAGAGCTTCTATACCGATGAAGATACATCATGGATCCTTACACTGATACAATACTATCCAACCAGCTAAACAGACATCAATTGATGCAAATAAGAAGGTGAACATGTTAAGAGTTGGCTACCTTTCTTAAGAGGCCGCTTGGCTTTATCATAATGATCAACAACTGCAGCTTCTGATACCTCACTAGAGCCATATAGTTGATCCGACATTCTCTGCCAAAATGAAAAGCAGATAAGGACATGGACAGCATTTCCAAATTTTATTGATAAGAAACAAAAGAGTGATGCAGCGGTCATCATATAGATCAAAGAAATAGCAACCAAAATGGCATGCTGCATGCATAGCGAATCCTTTTCAAAGCATGTGTAGTTTTACCCATAAAAAGTCCACACAAAATAAATACTATAAGATAACAAGGTAACAAAAAATCACATAGTTAATAGGAAAGGGAAAGAAATTATCATGGTAGATCTATGAAGACCATACCTTCTCGATTTCCTCTATGTCAGCTCCAAGTTTCTTGAGGACTTCCTTAGAAATCTCCAAATATCTTTCTTCATCGTCAGTTCCTTCAATTTTCGCTTCATTGCTACTCCTCTCATCATTGTTTGCATCAGTTTCTTCCTCAGCTTCTGAATCTGAAGTGCACTGATCTGATTCTGCAATGTCATCATCTGATTCAGACTCTTCATTGTAGTCATGACCACAATCCTGATCAGAATCGACAAATATCACTCTAACAATCATGAAACAGAAAGAAAAACGATAGTATGTCACAGAAAATTAACATCAGAATCTCACATAAGGTGCAAGAACGCTGCTGTCAAGAACTAACAGGGGAACTTGTGTATCTCGAGCAAGTGCTCGTACCAACCTCTCTCGGTAGAGCTCAGTGCCTGTATAATCAGATAATAATTGGAATTTATTTCCTCACCACTTAGATAGTTTTAATACAATTTTTTTAGTCAACAACAAACCTGGAACACTCTGGAGCAGTATTCTCCCACTTGAAGAATCTAAACGAGCACCATACCTGGACGCCATATTTTTTTGTTTAATATGTGAGCTAACACATTCCACCAGAGTATCTTTTGTGTGTTCACTGGATGACAAATGAGCAAAACAGAACATGTTAGCAAAAAAAATGGAATTGACTAGATGAAAGTAACACGATAACAGAAGGAAAAAGTCTTTGGTTATTACTGGACGTAGTAAGGGAAAGACTCCCAAGAGAGCTTTATAGTCTCCCAAGGTTGAATTCTCCGCAAGAACTCATTCTTCAATCTTTCTCGTTTGTTAAGGAAAGGTGAATCCTTTTTGCTTTCACTTGCAAGCTTCTCATTGTTGAGCCATGCTATTTGGTCTTGTTCTCCAAGCTGAGCGTGAGAATCAAAATGCTCAGCACCAAACACATGTTTCTCTTTTCCTGTCTTTTCTTTATTCAGAGGGAAACGGCTATCCTCACTAGCATTCCTTCCATCACCTTCAGAACTAAACCGACGCAATTGGCTGTTCCAAGAATAACTTAGATAGTCTTTAGAAGAAAAAGCGCCAGGAGAATGATAGAGTCTTGTCAAATGATTTGTTAGTATAGTAGGGGAGCTATAAGATTGGGAACCGGTGTGGTCACGAATCACTGGCCTCACTAAGCATTTGTCTTGCTGCAATACAAAAGACCATCTATGGTTCCTTCTTATTGTCCTTGTATACATCGCAAGTTTCTTTTTTTTTCCTGAGTTCCAATAACAAAGACAAAGATCCGTCATTGAAATACCAAAAACCCAATGCTTACCAGAACCTCTGAAGTAAACAAAAGAAAGAACAATCTAACAACAACATAAAGAACACGACTTCTAGAACAGTAGTTTCAAATCTATGAACCCACTTCCCAAAAGTCTCAAATCTATGACAAAATGCATAATAAAATTCCATATGTAGTATCAAAAACCTAATTCAAGGAAAAATTTGGAAGGTCTTCTCGCGTTTTTGTTACCTAGTTTGAGCTACAACAGATATCGAACAAAATTGGTTTTGCTCATTCCATCTTTTTAATAAGGTAATCAGAGTTGGAAGAAGAAGAAGGAGATGAGAGAAACTCGTGAGAGAGAGAGAGAGAGAGACAGAGAGACCGATCTTCGTAGGTTTCGAACTCTGGGCTTTGGCTGTATGACGTGGCGTTGTATTTTTATTTTTTCGCCGATCTTTGTTTTCACTTTCTAATGGGCCCATTTATACTGTAATTACGACTCCTAATAAAGCCTACCAACATCCATGAAAATTTGGAATGTATTTGGAGAAAAACGTATCTCAAGCCGGACTGAAATAATAATCGGGTCCTGGGTTGACCGGTCCGACCGACCGGTTCGGTGAGATGTTAATGAATTTCTTTTTCTTTTCGGTTGCCCGATTTTTCAATTTTCTTGGAGATGATGCAAACACTGCAGTGAAAAAGATCGAGTCGTTCCGACAAATTTATCAGTTTAACAGCAGAAAACACAGTCAATGACGGCGAAGATGACGACTCAGTCGCAGTTCTTGGTGAACCTCTCTCACGGCCTTGTCTCCCAAAGGTTCTTCTTATCACCTTCCTCAGTAGCTTTATTTCGTTTTCTTCTCAATGTTTTTTTTTTTTTCGTTTTGGATAGCAATCTCAGAGCGGATAATCGTGTTTCATCTTCGTCTTGTCAAATTACACGAACGAATCGGTCATGGGCTTTGCCAGTTTCCCTTAAAGTTGAGAAATTTCAACCTTTACGAGGAAGGAGAAGAAGAGGATCGCCTTGTTGTGGGAGCTTTAAGAACGAAGGGTTGCTTAGAAATGGAATTGGTGATGCTGATGGGATTATAATTGTTGATCACGGTTCTCGCCGCCAAGAATCCAATCTTATGCTTGGTAAGACTTTTGTTTCTGTTCCTTTCTCCTCCTCCTTCATCTTCTTTCTTGTTCTCACTTTATTACATATATATACACAATTTCCTTTTAGCTTGTATGAGTTTAAGTAATCGTGTGGCTGTTTCTGAGTTTCAGAGGAGTTTGTGAAAATGTTCAAAGGCAAAACTGGTTACCCGATCGTGGAGCCTGCTCATATGGTAAATTCTTCTTAAAGCACTCACCCTTCTTCATAGTTCTCTACAAATTTTAATGTTAGGTTTCTTTAGTTGTGAATAGTGGAAGAGGATTAGCTTTGGTCTTATAAATTGGCTCCGTTTTGTTCCCATGTCATGCCATAACTAGTGTACCTTTTAAAATGCAGTAAGACCTGGAATTTTACCTTGCTTTCCAATAGTTTAGTTGACTGTATACGCTTTTTGTGAACCAGAAAAAAATCTGATTTTCAGTTTTTTAGTAATCCTATTGATTTTAGCTTAAATATATTTGAATGGAAGACTTAGATGAAACTGGCATTTTGTTGCTTCTTACCTTCCAGTTCTGCTTGCTGTTTTCTGATGTTCACACTTTACACCAGGAATTGGCTGAACCATCTATAAAAGATGCATTCAGTTTGTGTGTACAACAAGGGGCTAAACGTGTGGTTGTGAGCCCATTTTTTCTGTTTCCTGGAAGGCACTGGCATAAGGTATGACTTTGTGCATCTCCATTTCTATGTTTTCATGAAGCATTTAGTTTTCTATTTTCTGGGATTTTTGGAGGATGTACATTAATGGCCTAGTGAGACTATGACCCTTATTTCATTTAAGGACATTCCCTCGTTGACGGCTGATGCTGCGAAGGAGTTCTCTGGCATCTCATACCTCATAACTGCACCTCTTGGCCTTCATAATCTCCTCATGGTAAGAAATAAAGCATATTTTTGTTTCCAAAACGAGCGAGCAAAAAAGCCTAAGGGATGTGAGCACCTTCATGCATTAGTGAATGACAATTATTTCCCTTTGAACTTCTAATAGTCGATCTTCTGATGTTTAATCTTCACAAGAGATCTGTAATTCTTTTAGCTCTTTTTATTTTCAGTAATCTGCTCATATTTCTTTCTGCAGGACGTTGTGAACGACAGAATCCAACATTGCTTGAGCCATGTTGAAGGTGATGCTGATGAGTGTCTTGTTTGTGCTGGAACAAACAAGTGCAAGCTCTACAATAGTTCTGAAGTGTAAATGTAAGAACATTTTTGTATATCTGCTCATTTTCTCTAACCTTTTGGATGCGGTTAAAAAAGTGAGGCATATTATATTGTTTATACTCATCGTTATGTACACTTCCTATGTTTCAACAAGGGAGTTTTGAGATTTATGTCATGTTCTTCTTATTGCACGCCACCACCAATGTAAAAGGACTACGACAATATAACAGTTAGTCTGTTAAATGTCGTCTCTCTCTCTCTCTCTCTCTCTCTCTCTCTCTCTCTCTCTCTCTCTCTCTCTCTCTCTCTCTCTCTCTCCCCTGTCAACAAACTATGTAATCGAAATTTGATGTATTGCATGTCAGTGATGTATCATGGTTATAAAAAATATAAGATTCTCTCGATGCTTTTTCTGGCCTCCTTATTGGGGTTTCATGCATTGCACTTGTTTTATTGTGAGTTGTTTTGTTTAATTACAAGGCAGAGAAGTCCATTTTTCCTTATCGTAGCTTTTGCAGTTAAAGATGAGAAGGAAAATGAAACGTATGGTTGTAGGAGATAGCGAAGACTTTTGAAGTCTCCCACTAAATTCGGATGGATGAATATGTGGACGTGGTGGTTCATGGATCAGCACAAAAGAACATTCAAGAAGTCGTTTGGTAGTTGTATTATGTTCACATGATCCTCAGTTGACTAGTTCAGAAAAGGACAACGAATGTTATGATTGGGTTGACTTGGAGTCTTGTGTCATGAAGTTAGTGCATAGTTGAGTACTTTCTAATGTAGGATGTAGAGAGCTGGGAGAGCCACTAGAACACGAAATGGCAGAAGCTGTTGTTTCTGTTACAGTGCAGAAACTAGGGGAGTTGCTCTTGGAAGAACCCTTGTTCTTGTTTGGTATAGGTGACCAAGTAAAGCAGCTGCAAGACGAATTGAAGCGTTTGAAGTGCTTTTTGAAAGATGCAGATGAGAATCAGCATAAAAGCGAGAGAGTGCGTAACTGGGTTGCAGGCATTAGAGAAGCTTCTTATGATGCAGAGGATATCCTCGAGGCGGTTTTCCTCAAAGCAGAATCAAGGAAACAAAAAGGGATGGCAAGGGTCATTAGGAGGCTTGCTTGCATCTTGAACGAGGCGGTTTTACTTCACAGTGTTGGCTCAGAGATTAGAGAGATCACCACCAGGCTTTCTAAGATAGCAGCAAGCATGCTAGATTATGGTATAAAAGAAGCTATAGGCAGAGATGGTTTGAGTTTGTCTGATAGTCAAAAAGAACAGAGGCAGTCGTTTCCATATGTTGTTGAGCATAATCTTGTCGGGTTACAGCGGAGTCTTGCGAAGTTAGTGAACGATTTAGTTTCCGGAGGTGTGAAACTAAGAGTTACATCTATATGCGGAATGGGTGGTTTGGGTAAAACGACTTTAGCCAAACAGATTTTCCATCACCACAAAGTGAGGCGTCATTTCGATAGGTTTGCGTGGGTATTCGTTTCTCAAGAATGTAGACGGAGACATGTTTGGCAAGAGATTTTTCTGAATCTCAGCTACAAGGATGAGAATCAGAGAATACTCAACTTGAGGGATGAACAACTTGGGGAGGAGTTGCATCGGTTCTTGGAAAGGAATAAATGTCTCATTGTGCTTGATGATATTTGGGGCAAAGATGCTTGGGATTGTCTGAAACACGTCTTTCCAAATGAAACAGGTAATTAGTAATGTTCAAATACAACTCATGTTTTATAATTCTTGATCATTTTTATAGGCTAGTAGTATTTACTGTAGGAAGCAAAATAATACTCACCACTCGGAACAAGGAAGTTGCTTTATATGCTGATCCGAGGGGTGTGCTTCATGAGCCACAATTGCTAAATTATGAAGAGAGTTGGGAGCTATTGGAGAAAATTTCATTATCTGGGAGGGAAAATATAGGTAATCATTTGGATCTAATCTTATAGCAGCATATATGCTATTATACTTAACACTCCTATTCACCTAATTTGCAGAGCCAATGTTGATCACGAAACTGGAAGCTATTGGGAAGCAGATGCTCGTAAGGTGTGGAGGTTTACCTCTAGCAATAACAGTTCTAGGTGGACTTCTGGCAACGAAAAGTACATGGAACGAGTGGCAAAGAGTACACGAGAACATCAAATCATATGTTTCAAATGGAGGTAGTAGCAGTAGAAGTAAGAGCATGCTGGTTGCAGATGTTTTGTGCTTGAGTTATGAGTACTTGCCTCCCCATTTAAAGCAATGTTTCCTCTACTTTGCTCATTATCCTGAAAATTATGAGGTTCATGTGGGAACATTGGTTAGTTATTGGATTGCAGAGGGAATGGTTATGCCTGTAAAACACACAGAGGCTGGGACGACAGTAGAAGATATCGGGCAAGATTATCTCGAAGACTTAGTAAAGAGAAGCATGGTTATGGTTGGGAGGAGGGACATTGTAACTTCGGAAGTCATGACATGCCGTATGCATGACCTCATGAGAGAGGTGTGTTTAGAGAAAGCAGAGCAAGGAAGCTTTGTGCAAGTTATTGATTCAAGGGATTCAGATGAAGCTGAGGGTTTCCCATCTCTTTCAGCCAATACATGTCGTAGAATTTCTGTACAATTACATGGTGGTGCAGAGGAACATCGGATCAAAAGACTTTCTCAAGTGAACTACATAAATCCTCGGTCTAGGTCTCTTGTGTATATTACGAAGAAACAAGGAAATTCATGGGCACTTCTGGGTAAGGTTTCCTTCAAAAAGATGAAACTTCTTAGGGTTCTAGATCTCGAGGGAGCTCAAATCAAGGGAGGGAAGTTGCCTGATGACGTTGGAGATCTCATTCATTTGAGAAACCTGAGCCTGAGATTAACAAACGTGAAGGAACTTACACCATCTATTGGAAACTTAACGTTGATGATTACTCTAGATCTGTTCGTTAAAGGGCAACTGTATATTCCAAACGTGATATGGAAGCTGCAGCGGCTGAGACATTTGTGTATGCCTTCAGATCTTAATCCAAAAACGAAGTTGGACTTGAGTACTTTAAGAAACCTGCAGCAACTCTGGGATTTCCCTGTTGGCCAATGCAATCCAAGGGATCTTTTAGGAATGTCAAGTCTTAGAAGATTGTCGATCAATCTTTCTTCGCAGAATACAGACTTCGAGGTTGTATCTTCTCTAAGTAACGTCTTGACACGTCTCCGTGGCTTGACAATTAACGTTCCCTGCGAACCTATGCTTCCACCAGTAGATGTAACACAGTTGGTTTCTGCATTTACTAATCTCTCTGAACTGGAACTGTTCCTTAAACTAGAGAAGCTCCCAGGAGAACAGAGTTTTTCATCTGATGTTGGTGCTTTACGTTTGTGGCAATGCGGACTAGTGGATGACCCGTTTCTGGTTCTTGAGAGGCTTCCAAACTTAAAGATTCTCCAACTGTTTGAAGGATCGTTTGTGGGTAGTAAACTTTGTTGTTCCAAAAATGGTTTTCCTCACTTGCATTCTTTGACCTTGTCACAGCTTGAGAATCTAGAGGAGTGGACTGTAGAAGAAGGTGCCATGATGCGTCTTGTCTCCATAGAGGTGAAGAGCTGTAAGAAACTGAAGTCAGTTCCTGAAGGATTGAGATTTCTGAAGAATCTACAAGAAGTAGAGATTGGGAACATGACAAAGGCATTTAAGGACAAGCTGATCTCTAGTGGTGAAGATTTCTACAAGGTTCAACATGTGCCTTGTGTTGTTTTTGAGTACTGTGACCTTTAAGGATTTGGGTGTTAAGCAAAATATTTCTTCTGCCCTATCCGAATCATAAGAAGTACCATCCTAGTGGTTTTATTATACAAGAAAAGGCTCATCGGACAAAATCGGAAGTCCTATTGTTGAATCACAAGTTCTTATCATTTGAACAATTGAACTAATCCATATGTATTTGTAGTAGATTTGCAATTTTTAAACGTTGCAATTACTAAAGGTCTTTAAAAATTGATTGCAAAGATTGACTAGCATTAAGGTTTGTTACCGTTGTTCTTAAGCTACGAAACCACAAATGACAGTAAATTAAATATTTTAGTTTAGGTCTTAGTTATCCAAACATTTTTTTTTTTTTTCCTACAAGTTATCCAAACATTTTAATTGAAGGATTTTGTTTTTCATCAACGAGTACATATCACTGTTTTTAGAATTGAATCCAAAAATTAGGAGCAACAAGTAAATCAATTCAGCTTTATGTCTTTTATTCATATATGAAGAACAAAACCTCCAAACTGTTTGGACTAAATTTGTTCGTATAGCATCTTTAATCGTCGCTGCCTTAGTCCATCTTTCCATTGGAGAAGTCCTACCATGGATAATATATATCAAAGAAACACATGATAGTACAATAGTTTTTCCCAGTCGACTTGACTACCATAGTGTCCACACAACGGCGTCTACATCCATCACACATTGGTCTAGAGTTACCACTGTTGGGAACAATATCAATACTTGTTTCAGCACCTTCATACATCTTGATCACATGGTTTAGCTTCATGTAGATATTATCTCCCAGTAAACATGTAACGTGAAGAGTGACTGAACAAGAGTTACATGTGTAGAACCACTTTTTTGCATCTATTTCTGATTCACAAACCTCGCACCAGTACTGGAGATCTGTTGTCTTCTCTTCTCCGCAGCAAAGGGTGAGTGGATGTTTATCGTACTTGTAGTGAGCCACCAGAGGCAGAGTAGCACAAGTAAGACACAAAAAGGACCTGCATTCAATACATTCTAAGGACTTTCTTAATCCAGAGGTAATCTTACAAACCATGCATTTACCTTCGGTCAAATTGAAGAAGAGTGGGTGATCATGTGGATGGCAGTCATGGATTATAGGGTCAGGAAGGGAAGCACACCTTGCATCTAGTTGAAATACACAACCCTTTTCGCAACACTTGTACATGAAACCACAGCATTTTTGGCTACAACCATTACACACGAAGAAACCAAGGTCGTAATATTTAGACTGGAGCTCTTTGAGATGAGGATAGTGTAAATGGTAGAGGCTGAGCGGGTGTTTGTGTAGTGGATGGTGTTTTATGCGAGGAAGGCATGCACATGTTCCATGGAGAACAAAATCGCATTCCGCACAGCTGTAGAAGCTATAAAATTCAAGATTATAAAGATCAAGACCAAATTAAAGAATCACTCTCTTTATTTCTTTAGGAAAAATCTCTCAAAAACCTAAAGCTCTTAATCTCTCAATCTCAAAACTCTTAAGTTATGTCACACCTTGACATCTCCTTAAATAAGAAAAGAACTAGACTATAACTCCTATTTCTATTAGGAGACAACACATAAAAATATATTTAGATAACTCCTAAATATATAAAGCCTAATCCTAATCTTCTTATGCTTGCTCTTCAAGCTTACTTCAAGCTTAAGTCAACATTCTCCCCTTTAAGCTTGAACTCATCACTCTTCAAGTCTTGAACACCAATGAGATCTCTCATCTCTTTAAACTTGATCCTTCCAAGTGCTTTAGTTAAAATGTCCGCCTTTTGCTCACTCCCCGGAACATGTTCAACATCGATTTGGCCATTTTCAATGCATTCTCTTATAAAATGGTATCGTCGATGTATGTGCTTACTACGACCATGAAACACCGGGTTCTTTGTGAGTGCAATGGCTGAGCGATTGTCTATACGTATTGTAACCCTCTCACATGTGTTTCCCGTGATTTCACTTAGTAGATCTCCGAGCCAAATTGCTTGTTTTGCTGCTTCGGTACCTCCCATGAATTCGGCCTCACATGATGATAATGCAACAATTTCTTGTTTATGCGAGCACCAAGATATCGGACTATCTCCAAAGTAAAACACATGGCCGGCTGTGCTCTTTCCATCGTCCGGATCAACATTATGACTACTGTCACTATAGCCAATGATTTTTGGTATACTCGTGCAGCGCTTGTAAACCAAACCAAGAGTTGTGGTTCCTTTTAGATATCTAAGACATTGCTTCATTGCAGCTGCATGTGATTCCCTAGGGCTTTGCATGAACCTACTTAGGACTCCCACAGCATAAGATAGATCCGGCCTTGTATGAAGCAAATATCTAAAACACCCAACATTCTTCCTAAAAGCTGTTGCATCGACTTCCTTTTCATGAGTAAATTTTGCAAGTTTTAAGCCAAATTCCATTGGAATGTGAGCTGGATTACAATCCCTCATTCCAGCTTCTTCTAAGATTTTTAGTGCATATCGTGTTTGATTCAGAGTGATTCCCTCGTTGTGTTGCATCACTTCAATTCCAAGATAGTAAGACAATACTCCAAGATCGCTCATGTCGAATCGAGATGACATCTCGACCTTAAATTGGTTAATCACTTCCATGCTTGTTCCTGTGACCAAAAGATCATCAACATAAACAGCTACTATCAAAAGATGCTCACAAACCTCCTTTCTATAGACAGTAGGTTCCTTGTTGCATTTAGTAAATTTGAGTTCTAGGAGAAGCTTGTTTAACTTGTTGTTCCATGCCCTTGGTGCTTGTCGTAAACCATATAAAGCTTTGTTTAACTTATACACCTTCTCTTCCTTTCCTTTGATCTCAAATCCTTCAGGCTGGAACACATAAACATCTTCTTTAAGTTCTCCATGAAGAAAGGCCGTTTTTACATCGAGATGATGTATTTTCCACCCATGTGCAGCCGCGAGTTTGATGAGGAGTCTTATTGTCTCCACTCTTGCTACTGGTGCGAACACTTCATCAAAGTCCACTCCAAACTTTTGAACATATCCTTTGGCTACCAGCCGAGCCTTGTATTTGTTAATGCTCCCATCCGAATTCTTTTTGAGCTTGAATACCCATTTTAATCCAATGGGTTTGACTCCTTGTGGCTGCTCAACTAGATCCCATACTTTGAACTTTTCTATGGAGCTTATCTCTTCTTCACAGGCTTGAATCCACTCCCTAGAACCTCTAGCTTCTCCAAAATTCATTGGCTCGTTATTTAAAGAAAACAATAACAGTTCTACCTCTCTCTCAGCAAGCAAGATGTAATCTTTGAGGTTTGTTGGCATTCTCCTGTCTCTTTGTGATCTTCGCAAAACCGGAGACCGAACACTTGACTCAGCTTCACCATCTTCTTCACCAAAAACTTCTTCATCCCGAACATCTTCTTCCATTTGTTCAAAATCGTCTTCTTCTTCCCCTGTTTCGGTTTCAGTTTGATCACTTTGATCTTCTCTCCCTTCTATATCACGAAGACCGTGATTCCCTGTTTCAGTAAAATGAATTTTGAAGCTTCCATCCCCTTCCTTTGATGAATCAACATGTCTCCACTCCCAACCTTTTGATTCATCGAACACTACATCACGGCTGACGACAATTCTTTTTGTTTGAGGCTCAAGTAAACGGTATGCCTTTGATCCAGGCTCTGTCCCTAGGTGAATGAGTATGCGCGTTCGATCATCTAACTTCTTTAGATGTGGTTTATCGACTTTTGCATAAGCAATACAGCCAAAGATACGAATGTGCTCAATATCCGGTTTCTTCCCTCGAAAACATTCGTAAGGAGTTTGATCTTTGAGTGCTCTTGTCAAGACTCTGTTTAACAGATAAGTAGAATGTCGTATAGCTTCTCCCCATAGGTAGTTTGGAAGATGCATATGTTTTAATATACTCCTTGTCATCTCCATCAACGTCCTATTACGTCTCTCCACTACTCCATTTTGCTGCGGGGTGTAAGGAGCAGTCAAGTGACGCCTAATGCCATGATTTTCACAAAAGGTGTTAAATTCCAAAGAGACAAACTCTCCTCCTCGATCTGTTCTAAAGGTTTGTATCTTCTCCCCTGACTCCTTTTCAACCATGGATTTGAAGGTCTTGAATTTGCAAAGCGCCTCTCCTTTCTCCTTTAAGAGAGTAGTCCACATGTATCGGGAATGGTCGTCAATGAGCACAAAGATGTATCTATTGCCAGCACTTGTACTTGGTGTTATTGGCCCACATAAGTCTCCATGAATGAGTTCAAGGAGCTTTGTTGCTCTATAAGAGGTTGCTTGTGGGAAAACTTGACGGGTCTGTTTTCCAAGCAAGCATGAGCTACAAATTTCTTTAGCAATGGTAATGGTCGGAGCACCTAACACCAGTTCTTTGTCTATCATTGATTTCAGGTTTGCAAGATTCACGTGACCTAGACGAGCATGCCATCGACTTGTTTCACTCATGCTGGTTAGATACAAGCAAGCGTTGTCCCTTAACATCATCCTTACTTTGTACAGCCGGTTTTTGCTCCTTTGTGCCTTTACAAGCAACTTTCCATCACGATCGCACATTGTTAAATACTCTCCTTTTAGTTGTATAGCACACCCGGACTCTGTAGCTTGTCCAAGACTCACAATATTGCTCTTGAGATCGGGTATGAAGTATACATCCGTCAGCATCCGTGATGTTCCATTCAAATCAATGAAAGCAATCGTTCCTTTCCCTTTGATATCGACTCTAGAATCATCGCCGAACCTTACTTTTCCAGAGATTGAGCTGTCCAAAGTATCAAAATATCGTCGATCTCCAGTCATATGATTGCTTGCCCCGTTATCAAGGTACCACACGTTTTCTTCGTCAAGATTTGTCTCAAACTTGCTAGGCACACAATGCTTCTCATTCAAGTGAACTGTTTCATGCATCATGAGTTCATCCGCTGTTTGTGTATCATCCTTATCTGTTTTCTCGTTCTCTTGTGCCTCTTGTAGCTTAAGCAAGCGATCAGGGCAGGACGAAGCATAATGGCCTAGTTTGTCACAACGGAAACATGTGATTTGTGACAAATCTCTTCCTCCGTTCCTTCCGCGTCCTCGTCCACGTCCACGGCTTCCACGACCTCTGCCTCCGTCTCTTGAATAGTTGGAGTTATCCGAACTTGAATACATTAGCTTGCTCTGTTCCTCATGACTGTCTTCTTCATCACACACTCTTTCTTCATAAACTTTAAGACGTCCGACAATCTCTGCGAAGCTAGTGGTTTTTAAATCAAGGACTTGTTCAAGAGAGGCAACAATGTGAATAAACTTCTTTCGTGGAAGACTCTTGAGAAACTTCTTTACAAGCTTTGGTTCCTCAATGTTTTCACCCAAAGCCGATGTCTTAGAAGCTAACTCGGCAAGTTTTCCACTGAAGTCATCAATGCTCTCGGTTTCTTTCATCGTGATGCGATCGAATTCTGCCATAAGGGTTTGTAGTCTTGCCTCCTTCACTCGTTCAGCTCCAACATATTTTTCTTGAATAGAGTCCCAGACCTCTTTCGCCGATGTGAGCTGTCCAAATTGGAGAACAAGGGTTTCGGGTAGAGACTGAAATAACAAGGCGATGGCCATGTCATTTTTTTCAGCATCCGTCGTCCCGCTAGCAACTGTTTCCCAAGCCTTATGAACACGGAGACACGATCGCATGCGTATGGCCCAAACTGTGTAGTTTGTGGACGTGAGCATAGGGCATTGAATAGAGGATGATCCTCCACTTGTTTTGACAACCGGAACAATGTCACCCATGACTCTTTCTTCGAACGTGTTTGTGTGTTTTGTTGTTTGCTCTGATACCAAATATAAAATTCAAGATTATAAAGATCAAGACCAAATTAAAGAATCACTCTCTTTATTTCTTTAGGAAAAATCTCTCAAAAACCTAAAGCTCTTAATCTCTCAATCTCAAAACTCTTAAGTTATGTCACACCTTGACATCTCCTTAAATAAGAAAAGAACTAGACTATAACTCCTATTTCTATTAGGAGACAACACATAAAAATATATTTAGATAACTCCTAAATATATAAAGCCTAATCCTAATCTTCTTATGCTTGCTCTTCAAGCTTACTTCAAGCTTAAGTCAACAGAAGCTATCTGAAACTGTTATGGGAAGGATGCAGGCTTGGCAAAACTTGTTTTCATGGTTACCATTCCCATGATGGATCTTTAGATGGTGATGGTCGTGACTGAAATGTTGTATTGTATCTTCATCAATCCTCACGAATGGCTCAACATCTTCTTCTTCTTCTTCAGGCACTCCTTCAAGATCTTTCCCATCCCACACTTCGTTTTTTGTTGCACATTTCGAATGGACAGCATAGTGGCATCCCTTGTTGCAAGAGAATTGACCGTAGTTGACGTCAACGAGTTTGCGACAAACACCACAAGAGAGCTCATCACCAGAAGGAACAAGGGAGGAAGTGTAAGAGAGTCGATGCTGGTGACGGGTGATCTTAATGACACGAGGTAAGTAGATACATCTTCTATGTACCATGTAGTTACAAAGCAGACAAGAGTAAACTGAATCATTGCGAGCGTCAAGTGAAAAGCCACAAGCATCACAGGGCAGAGGAAGTTTTCTAGGAAAAAGGGTAAGAGCGTGCTCATGGCTTTTTAGGTTTTCAATAGTGAGAGGTGGTGAATCCTTTATGCAAAGTGAGTGTAGACTAAAATTGCAGATAGAACAATGATAATATGTTATATCGGAAAAACGAACATACTTGATGTTGCTGTTATATGTAATACTTTTCCGACAAGATTTGCATTTTTTATGATTCCCATCTGAAGCAGAGTCTTCTTCTTCAGAAGCACAAACTACTTCACCTGAACCACAGTCTTCTTCACCTGAAGCAGAGTCTTCTTCACCTGAAGCACTGTCTTCTTCACCTGAAGCAGAGTCGTCATCATCTGAAGCACTGTCTTCTTCTTCTCCTCCAGAAGAATCTGTTGAAGAGTGACTATTCTTTTCTTTTACAACAGCATCATTGTATGAATCTATGGTTAGGCCAAACCAAATTTCAGGGAGCGCAGAGCTATCAAGATCATGGTCTAAGAAGGTGAGGGTGAGAGAGTGGTGGAGGTGGAAAGGGTGTTTGATCTCTGGAGGAAACAAGTGACAACCATCGTGAAATTCAACACCACAAGTAGCACAATAGTAATAGTACCCACGCCTATTCCCAACGTATGGTTGGCCTTTGCAAGAGATACACACGGTGAGCGGCGGATCCATTCGTTGGCAAAGTTTGTGCGGTTTTGTAACATCAGACATACGACAAAAGGGCTTCCCCTTACTATTGCTTCCTTTCATGGCTGTAGAGTTTCAACTGTGAATCCTCTTGATTTAGAGATAGACTTTTTCCTTTTCTTTTTTCTTGAATTGAATTGGAGAGATAGACTTGTTTACCCACTTTGTAATGAATGGTCATTTATATTTCAGCCAACTATATAATAATAAAGACACACACAGAGCTCGTATCGTATGTGCCAACTTGAGTTATTGTCAAGACTGTACTGTCAAAGTCAAGACTGTATAGAACACTGTCCGTGAATGTCACAATTATTTATTTTGTTATTATTTGTGGATCATAAGCATTTTTTATCCAGATGATTTTTTTAGTAGGTTTGCTATTTTTTCTGCAATTTCTAAAGTTCTACACAAATTGATCGCAACTAGCATTAACGTTACCGTACATCTTTCTTTACTTACGTGACAAAATCCTAGTTTAGCATTAAGAAATCAATACATTTTAGGATTTATTTTATTTTATTTTATTTTTGGTCAAAGGATTTGGTTTTCATGTACACGTAAATATCACTGTTTCTAGAAATGTGCATTTCAGTTTCAACAACCCAAAACATATATAAAGTAAAAATAAGTAAATCAATTCAGCTTTATGCCTCGTATTCAGATGGCAACTAAAACCGACCGGACCATAAATCTAATTAACCAAATTTTAAACCGCAACCATACCAAAAACCAAGAAAAATGATATATACACTAAGAAAATGTAAAAACAGAACCACTTAAACCCAAACTGAAAAGGACAGTCTCACAAGGGAGTATACATTAAAAGGTTACTGTTTGACTGAAGTGTGATACCACAAATTCCATCACAACTGATAAATAAACTAACAGATTTTTGAACATGTGTAAATCGGTATAAAATGAAATCAACAAAGTAGAGGTTACTCAGCCCATACAGATCTCCGACCAAATCAGTTGAGTTTCATTGATGCAAATGATGCAGCCATATCCAAAGCCGCCTGCACCTGGGAAGCATCCGTTCCCTGAAACCAAAACAACATGCTAAAGAGCGAGATCTCTTTGTGGAGGATACTGCATCGGAGACTAAAGTGAAAAGGACTCATACCTGTCCTGATGCAAGACCACCTTTCCCTTTTCCACATCGGCCTTTTAGAGGACCCAATGCAGTTGTCAACCATTCGGTGACGTCTAACTGCTTGAATTGATCGGATTTTTCTGGGACTCCTGCACAGACAACCGCCTTGTTTGTGCTTTCATCTGTGCTGAACACCATTATCGACATTCCCTGCAAAATTCCTCAGATTCTTCATTTAACTTTCTTGATTTCTACGAACAGATGGTACAAGTGATGCTGTAAGAAAATGCGGATTACCTTCTTTTCCATGACTTTTGAAACGGCCTCTCGCACAGCTGCTGCATCAAGACCTACATCCAGCTGGATTATGCAGAAAGTTTTCCCATCTGATGCTGCTGACTCCGCTGTCTCTATTGCTACTTTGACAGATTTCTTCAGGTTTTGTTCCGCTATTCTCTTCTGAGCTTTTCTTACCTCATTCTGAAAAGTTGAAAAATGATAATTGCCACTTTAATATTCCTCTATTAGAAAACTACATGAAAAGCTAGAAAAGGCTGCAGATTGTAGGACTTGACGAGCTTAAAACCTGAAGCGAAGCAATCTTAGCCCTGATATCTGCCTTTTTAGCTGCTGGGATAATTGCTGCATCTACTCGGCTTTTCAAAGCGGAAACTTTCTGTGAATATGCAAATATGAACACAATAAGTTTTACATGAATGCAACTTAAGAAAATGTCTTAGTCAATTGTTGGCAGAGAAGAGAGGGAGAAAACCTTTTCCAATGCACTTCCCTCTGCCTTGGACGCATCCTCTACTTCCTTTTCCAGTACGGACGCAGCATTCAATGCATCAAAGGCACATTCAGTAGTTACAGCAGTTACCCTACGAATACCTTTAGCAATTCCCTCCTCCGATAGAAGCGCAAACGCTTTAGCTTCGCGGGTATTTGTTATGTGGGTTCCTGGAATTTTCAAAATAACCCAATACTCAACATTGTATTCTAAAAGTCATCTTGGTCCCAATAGTTAATGCCAATTCAAACCAACCTCCACAAAACTCAGAAGAAAGCAAAGACCATTCACTGTTTTCAGGATCGGCCAAGAGATCCTCGACCTGTCTCCCAATCGACACCACTCTGACAGGATCAGGGTATACCTAAACAGAGTAAGAGAAAACCTTTAACAATTCATAGAAACCAAACCAAAAAGGTATAAAAAGAGAACTACTGATAGACAGCTTACTTCTCCGAACACTGCTCTTAGACCTTTGATGCGCTTGGCTTCAGAAAGCACTGCTTCCTTGGAAAATACATCCAATTCATCCTTGATCTGTTTATTCACTATCAATTCGATCTTTCTCAAATCTTCAGGATCAACCGGCTTGCCTACTCGAAATCATGGAACCCATCAGACAATTATAGTGCCATCCATATCAAAATAAAGTTTACTTATGGAGAATGTACCGTGGGAGAAATCAAATCGCAGTTTTTCAGGAAGAACTATTGATCCCTTCTGATCAATATGATCCCCCAGCACTTCCTGAATTCATTGGACATGTGAGAACCAATGAAAAATAGTAAATCACCGTCTAGGTAACTTAAATTATGGAAAACGGATACCTTCAGGGCATAATTCAACATATGTGTACAAGTATGATTAGGAGCAATGAGTTTACGCCTCTCATAGTCAACCTACACGCATGGAACCAAAGGTGGAAACAATTTTAAATAGTATCAAATACGTTGATGAGACAAACACTGTTTGACGCAGTAAGTTACCTTGCAAATCACTTTATCTCCCACAGATACCTCTCCAGTTGCTTCAGAAAGATAACCAATATGAAGAACAAAGCCGCCAAATATTTGGACATTGCATACATTGAATGTACCAAATGACCCTTCTATAAGTCCTGTGTCAAAAATCTATTGCCAGAGCAGAAAGGTTAAGAGGCACAGACTTTACATACATATGAATCAAAATTCTAGACCTTCATGGATATAAATTATAAATTATATATGCAACTATTAACAACGACTCCAGAAATTAGTTTGCAAAACCAATAATAACTATATCATGGTATGCGTCAGCCGATATGTAAAGTCAAACGATGCAGTTCTGAAATGATAATGTTCATGGTGTTACTGCCGGGCCTACATATATATACATGTCCAAGATGAACATAATGAAGACTGGAGTTTCGTGCCACCAGTCATGTGATCAGAAATGAAAAAAAACCACAAAACTAAATTACATATAAAATAAAACGGATTACCTGGCCCCCCTGCTCTGCATAGAAACTTGTAGACCCCAATACTAGTCCCACGTTATCAGCAGCAGCTGAACTTTTCAGGAAAGCTGAGCCAGTGTAGATTGCCTTTAGTTCACTCTCGTGGTCCTGCAGGTTATTTCTCAATAATGGATTATTTGAAGCAAATCCATTTACCACTCTTTGCCCTAACTTCGTCAATTCTATGCCAACATAAGAGCAATTCAGGTGCAATATGCAAGTTTTCTCGAATAATAGGACAAACCTGGAACCAAATGTATTTAGAAGAATCATCTGTTGCTGACACACCAGTCTTGTGCAATGTTGATGTAGCATCAGCATCCATAACAATGGTACCACCAGCTTGCTACCAAAAGTTGGCATTAAAATTCTAGTTAAAAGATAACACAAACTTCGTCCATGATCACAAGTAAGCTTAGCATCAAACACTCTTTAAGAAAGCAAATAAAGAAAGAGAAGTTGAAACACCTTATTCTGGGCACTTCTTGATCTTTCCCTCGCCTCCTCCATGGCTTTGTTGAAACCATCAACATCAACCAGCAACCCTCTTTCTTCAGCCATCAACTAAGTCACGAGAATGTAAGTTAAAACAAAAAACGCAAAAACTTCAGAAATAAATATGAATTACTTAAGTACCTGAGTCAAATCTAACGGGAAACCATATGTATCCCATAAGACAAAAGCATCCTGCAAAGAACACAGTATGTTAAGATATTCAAACATCTCTGATGGATATACTATACTACACAGTTAAATAGAGACGTACATCTCCACTCAGTGTATTTCCCTGAACCGCCTGTCCAGCTTTCCGAAATTTCTCAATTCCCTGCCGTGAAAATTTAAAATCAATCTAATTTTTCTTATACTCACCTATATAACATAGAAAATGTAAGAACAAACAGGTCAAACGGATTAATTTTTTCAGTAAAAGGCTCCCTATAGACAATGGTATGCTGAATTATGTCCAACCAAAATCATTAAAAATAAACAATCGTGCAAGTAGAAACAATATATACAAGGTAAAATTAATATTGAAGTTGTGAACTGTTACCATATGTTCAGTGCAAAGAGCCAGTAGAGCCCAGAACAAAAAATAAGATAAAAATTTAAATGTGTGACGCAAATTAAATCCAGCCCTCACCTTCGCCAAGGTCTTGCAAAAGCTTGCTTCCTCTTCTTTTATTATCTCTGTGATCTTTTTCTCATGTTCCTTCAACTCTGTAAAGACATCGCCCATCACCCGTATAACAGAACTTACAAGCCTAGAGGTGAAAAGCACAAACTGATCAGCGAAAAAATAAAAGACGAGCTAAGACATGTATCAAAAAACATGCTGCATTGAAAAGGATACACAACAGCGAACATGCAACAACAATCAAACATAACTTCCTACCCATTGAAAAATCCTTCTTCAGCTTTTAGGATCTCTTTTCCATAGCGAACCGCTCGACGGAGAATACGCCGCAGAACATACTCGCGGCCCTCATTACCTGCAAAAGAGTGTATATCAGATGGTAATAGTTAATTTACAAGAAAGAATGACCCTCTATTTGTATACCATAATAAATGGACTGAGGAAGGAAACTGATAAACCCATCATTCCCAACTTAAGAATATATGAACCAAAAACACTTTTTGCTGAAACACGTTTGTATTTTTTGTAACCATCCGAATGTAATCGAGAAAAGAAACCAAGAACATACCAGGGCGAGAGCCATCCGCAATAGCAAATGACAGGGTTCTAATATGATCAGCAACCACTCTATACGCCATGTCAACTCTGTCAACATCTTCCAGACCAACTTTTCCAGAATATGGCCTAGCTCCCGTGGCCTAAAAAAATGTGAAGGCATCAACACCTATACTTAAGATTCACAACAACTAGAGGGCAGAACCAACCTAAAGTTTTAATTAATTCTTTCACTGAGAAAAATACAGGAAAGTGACAAAGGTAACAAGAAAACATTCTCCAAGATACCCATACAAAAATTGTTTAATCACTGAATCCAAATTCACTGAACCAGAAATATTCAAAACAATTGACAAGAGTGCCGAAAGTAGAATTAACTACAACCTCCCACAAAAAGAGTAAAAGATGATTAGAAAATCCATAGAAGACTCATAATCCACTCGACAATCGATGAACTAAAATGATGATGGAACTAAATAAGGCGACAAAAGCATCCGACGAGGCACACAAATACCTCAATATACTAAATGATGTCATGAAATTGTCAACAAATTACCTTTTGAATGTCATCAAAGATAGGCATGAACACATCTGTATCATAGTTGCTCATTTTGTTCTGAAGAACAGAAGTCAGCCTCTCGAAGCCCATTCCGGTATCAACATGCTTAGCAGGCAGAGGTTTTAGCGAGCCATCACTTTCTCTGTTGAACTATGTTACAAAAAATAACTATATAAGTAATAGACCCGTCAAAGAAAACAATTGAGAATGTAATAGGAAAGCTAAAGAAGCAAAAACAATCTTGCTAACTGCATAATATAGAGTATCAGTAAAATGGAACTAACGTACAATTGGGAAAGAGAGGGTTTGTACCTGAATAAAGACAAGATTCCATATTTCTAAACATGTTGGATCGTCATTGTTAACTAAAGATGCAGCATCACGGTTACCAACACGATCATAATGTATTTCAGTACAAGGCCCACAGGGACCTGTGTCACCCATTTCCCAGAAATTATCCTGCAGTTTCATCAAAAGTTAAATTGCTACAAGTTTTGACTGGAAATCGTAAACGATGGTCTTTTAAGACTGCCAACTAAACTTGACAGTGTATTCCCAGTCCAAATGCATTTTAAGCTTAAACTTGACTGTCGTTATCATTGACAAAGCAATTTTTTAATACAACTGGTGACAATATAAAGGCAACTAGACTGAATTAATTGTGAAAAAAACTTAGGAGAGAGGGAACCAATAAGTAGTGTTACTATCTTCAATGAGCAATACACATGAAATTCACTGAAATTCAATAATTCATTTTAATTTTTAAAGATCCAATTCTAACAATTACGGAACATCTGAATTTAATAAACTATCTGACTTTGCTGAAATGCTTTTCACATAAAGCCGGAAATATTTAACAAGAATAAAATGAAATGTTGTTCAATTTCATACGGTTTCAAAACCGTTTCTATAGGAGTAATGAAGCAAACATACTTTGCAACCAAAGGGCAGTACACGTCCAGGTGGAAGAAACTTCAACCATATATCTCTAGCCTCATTATCTGGTTGAAGGCCGGCTTTCTCATCACCACCAAAATAGGTAGCGTAAATTCGATCAGTCGGTAGCCCATAGACCTGAGGAATGAAAATCTCAATGAAATATATAAATCAACAGAAAGAGAATAATAACTAATACTGTCGCAGGGTATCTCAATGAAATGTACAACCTACTAAAAAGAGAAGAATCACTTCACAAAATTGTGTGATAATGTCGCAAAGGAGGGAGACAATAATTCACTGAATATCATGCACAAATTCTTAAATCAAGTAACAAGGACAAATGTCCCTTTTCTGCATGTGTAGGAAGAAAAATCTACTCTTTGAACCATAGGGTATTGCAAAAGAGGGTGGTTCTAATTACCTTGGTTAAGAGCTCCCAAGCCCATCCAATAGCTTCGGTCTTGAAATAATCTCCAAATGACCAGTTACCAAGCATTTCAAAGAAGGTGTGATGGTAAGTATCTTTGCCGACATCGTCCAAATCATTATGCTTTCCACCAGCACGAATACACTTTTGAGTGTTACATGCCCGAGTTAGCTTGCTGAGCTCAGTATTTGGGTCTGCGGTTCCCAAAAATATTGGCTTATATTGGTTCATTCCTTGAAAAACAAAGAAGTTTCAAAGTCATTAGTTTATCTAGTTGTCGCCAGACATATCAAGAGAAATTAACATAAATAGTTAAGAATCAAGAGCAGGGAATAGAGACAGTATATAAATGAACCTAACTTACAACGTCTTATATATTTCGAGCAAAACTTAACAATTGAAGAATGAATAGATCCCAAAGCTTCAAAGACAAAATAAAAAAAGAACAAAGCATTCCACTGAACTCATCAACAAGAATTTAATTCGAGATTAACCAAACTCAATAGAATCTAAATTCCATAGATCAACTAAAGACAAATTCCCAATATCATCAGCAAAAACAGATAGAAGGGAAACATATCCAAAGTTTTGGCAATCGAAGTATCGTACCAGCGTTAGCGAAGAGAAGAGTAGGATCATTGTGAGGAACAACAGGGCTTGATGGCCAGAACTTGTGACTTTTGCCTTTGAAGAAATCAAAATAAGTATCCCTGACTCTCTTCGCTGGCCACTGAATCTCAGATGGTTCGGAACCCGGCATGACTGCAACGGAGGACGACGAAGAGGAAAATAAACGGAAGTGAGAGAGAAAAGGGCGGCGGAGATGGGAAGAGTAAAAAACCCTAGACGGAGGAGGTTTGGCTGAGGATAACAGAAGAAAGGCTGCTGCGGTCACTAATCTCATTCAAACCCAATAAGACCTTCTCTTCTCTCTCTCTTCTCCTCCTGTTTTTATTTTCTACCGTTAAATTTTATTTAATCCGACTCCTTTTCCATCAGATATATTATTTTAAGAGAAAATATTATTAAAAGAAAAAAAGAGAGTAAATGTCATTCGCTGATAGGTCAAAATCTGAACTTTGTTAAATTCCTTCAATTTTTCTTTTCATATTTTCATATAATTTTTTTTTTTATCTTTTTCAAAGCCATTCTGGAGGTACTACTAGGCTAAGAAGTTTTATAAATACTAATAGGTTTGAATCTACGGTACATCGCGAGTCTATGATATGTTCATGTTTATGGGAAATACAATTTTATTTATATGGTATGTTTTATCGGATATATAGCTACTAAAAATCGTAGTCAATCTTTATCATATCCTAACTTGTAGGGTGTTTTGTGTTGAAGTTTAAGATTGAATAGTTTTTATTTATTGTTCTTACGAGTCCAAACAACGATTAACTACGATCGATCAAAGCAAAGAGAAGAAAGATACGATTTCGAGAGAAAAAATCACAGAATCAGTAATCAAACAGGAAATAGTGAGTCGAGAGAGATGATGATAATACCTGGAAATCGCCTTGTCTATCGCCAAAGACGACACAAACGAAGAGAAAACGTGTTTCGCTAGAGAGAGGGATCGAACCCTTTTTTTTGCCTTTGCTCTACAGTGTTTAACCAATAGCAATGTTCCACGTGGCGTTAGGGTCGCCTCTTAAACAGCTTAATTAAGGACCGTCCCTTATGATTTAATGACACTTTGATTTATCTTTAACCCACAAAACCTTTAAAGCCTCTAAACTCTTTTGCTAACCACCTCCCTTTGGAGATGGTCTTACAAAGTCCGCTGCGGTAGAGAACATCATAAGCGAGTCATACAATGCGGCATTAAAGAGGACTTGCAGCAAATGTCAACAAGTCGGACACAACAGACGTTCATGCACACGTAAAGCGGTGCCAAAACCACCCAAGGAACGTCAAGGACGACCGAGAAAATAACAGAAGACTATTGATGAAGAGAACCCTACCACTCAGCCAATACATTCTTCTCTTCAAAGTTAATGCTAATGAGTCTTTATTTTAGGGTATCTAGTCTCTTTGGAAATGATGTGCACCATATTGCAATTTCGTTGATGATCATATGTTGCAACAAGTTTGATGGTTATGTTGTCAGGTTTTATAATCTTCAGTCATTGAATTAATTTATGTTTTTTTTCAGCTTCTACACCAAAGTAAACAATTTAAAATCGACTGTTAAAACACTAGACAATAACTCATATATATTTCTCTTAGTTTAAAGAAAACATCATGTTATTTTTCTTCTAAATTCCAAGATGGCAAGTTTTTTTTTTTGTCATTAAAGGACCTAAAATTAGTTCAAACGAGCCAAGTCGTTTTTGTTTTTTTCTAAATTCAAAATTATTAAGAAAACATTTTGTTGTTTTTGAGTTAAAAAAATTCTTCGTCGTTTTATTTAATTAAAGAAATAGGTAAATATTTAAATATGGATCCGGCTAATATTGAGGGTTTTTTCATTAAATTCCCGGACAATAATACCAAAAACCTTGTTTACAACGTTTAGTATCGGATGGTCTTAGGGTTTCAATGTTTCACGATGAAAGGTCAGTATTGGACTATCGGGCGTAATTTTAAAATCTCATCTCATGGTCTTATTTTAAATATTTTGAAAACGTTTAGGAACAATTTTGAAAAAATGATAAATTAACTATTATCTTTTTGTCCGACCCGTTTTTCTTACAAATACAAAATAATACCCGAAATTGCGAACTTCTAGTTCTCTTTTATAAGGTTCGAGAGAGTGAGTAATGGGAGGAGTAGTAAAGATTTTTCCCTCTTTTTGAATTTCAAAAGTTTCCGAGAATATCCAAACACCCACAGCTTCTCTCTCTCTCTCTCTCTCTCTCTCTCTCTCTACATACACCGATCTCTCTTCGTTTCGCCGCCGAAGATTACCTCCTCCGCCGTTCCCTTCTCGTCGGAGTCCCCGGTTCTACCATCTCCGCTCCTTCACCAATTCGCCTATTCGACGCATCTTCGTGAGCCACAGTTCGATATCCGTCTTTATTTTTCCTAAATCTTCGATTTTCCTGTTTACTCCGAACTTCTGCTGATTAGTTTCGCCAATCAGGTTTAGGATCTGCGTTTCTAGCTTAATTTGATGTTTCCTGTTACTCGATTTCCTACCTTTGCTTATGCGAACAAGAAATCGCAACGGGAACCTAGTTTAGAAATAGCGATTACACTTTCGAACGAATGAGACTGAACGATACTTTCAATTGTGATGTATTTTGGTCTGGGTACCGTTGGAAGCTAAATCGTTGCTTTATTGACAGATAGCCTCCAGATATGGGTGTCGAGGATTATCATGTGATAGAGCTCGTCGGTGAAGGCTCTTTTGGGAGGGTTTACAAAGGAAGACGCAAGTATACCGGCCAGGTAAATATATTGTTGTTTGATGCTGCTCATTTTCATCCGCTACTTCACTCAGCTTATCATATCTTAATTTGGTAAATTTATACTCATTTATTGCTCCAGACGGTGGCGATGAAGTTCATCATGAAACAGGGAAAGAGTGACAAGGATATACATAGTCTAAGGCAAGAAATCGAGGTCAGTAAATTTCTTAAGTCCCTGGGCTTACATGCTTCACTTCATTTGACACTATCAACTTTAATTCCTATCCCAATCTATTTTTAATATTATTGGATTTGACCAATGTTTTTTTATGCCTCAGATATTGCGGAAGCTCAAGCATGAGAATATAATTGAAATGCTCGACTCCTTTGAAAACACGCGGGAGTTCTGTGTTGTCACTGAGTTTGCCCAAGTACTTTTCTCACTGTTGTCTGTAGAATAAAACCTGTACTTATATGTTCAAATTAAGAATCATGATGGAGCACCTAATTTCACAGGGTGAACTGTTTGAGATTCTTGAAGATGACAAGTGCCTTCCAGAAGAGCAAGTTCAAGCAATCGCAAAGCAGTTGGTAACACGTTATTGGCCAACATGGCTCTTATCTTCATATCTGATTTCTCCTTTTTATCATTTAATAAGACCATGTCGAAACTTTCAGGTAAAAGCTTTGCATTACTTGCATTCTAACCGTATAATTCATCGTGACATGAAGCCACAAAACATTCTTATTGGTGCTGGGTCTGTCGTTAAGGTAATATAACCTTCCTTTTGCTGCTTCTAAGAATTAAGTTTCAAAAGCTGTTTCTATGCTGCCCTCACACATCAGTTGCATATTGTCGTTTCTCAAAGAAAAGAAGTAAGAGATATTATAAGTTCATACTTACAATACGATTCCTCAACTCTTATTCTCTTCTTACGGGTACCAGCTTACATATTAACTTATTGAAAATGATTTATGACCCATGGATTTTTCATTCTGTTATTGTTCAGAAAACTAAGTTTATCTTGTAAGTACTAGAGATGGATATGGCTAGTCAGGAATCTCATATAATTAGCTAAATTAAGTAAAAACAAAATTACTTTTCAGTCCAACTGGATCATAATTTTTTTCTTTTACTTCTCTTTGGCATCATCTTACTGTATTCCCTTTGATATTTCAGCTATGTGATTTTGGTTTTGCTCGAGCTATGTCCACCAACACCGTGGTTTTACGATCCATTAAAGGTTAAACATCTTTATTTTCTTTAGGTGTCTTAATGAATGTATAACTCAATAAGTCGCTCCTTGTTATTAATCCAAAATCTTACGTCAGGCACTCCTCTGTACATGGCGCCAGAGCTTGTGAGAGAACAGCCATACAATCACACTGCCGACCTGTGGTCTCTTGGTGTTATATTGTAAGTGGAAAAACTCATCTGAGCTGTTGTACTTCAATTTCTTTTGTTATAGAGTTATTATATAACTGTGATGGCTTTTATTTTGTATTTTTTTCGGTTTTGCTTTATTCTTGTGTTATGCACATTTCACTGCACTTGAGAATTGATATGATTCTAATTATTCTTGTGTTATGCACATCAGGTATGAGTTATACGTAGGTCAACCTCCGTTCTACACCAATTCTGTGTATGCTCTCATTCGTCACATAGTTAAGGTATATCAATCTTTTTCATAGATGTCCATAGTCTATGCTAAAAGTTTGAGCTAACATTATAGTGAATCTTCAAGGACCCTGTCAAATATCCTGATGAAATGAGTCCTTATTTCAAAAGCTTTTTGAAAGGATTGCTCAACAAGGTGAATTTCTTTTTTCTTTTTTTTTTAAAGCTGTCCTTCTAACCATTTGTTGATACGTTTGAGACTATTCTTGGACTGGGTTAAACTGTTTGTCTGTTACAATGCAAAACAGGTACCCCAAAGTCGATTAACATGGCCTGCTCTTCTTGAGCACCCCTTTGTTAAAGAATCACAAGAGGAAGTTGAAGCCAGGGTAATGATCTGATATTAATGACTTATACTTTGCAGCTTGAGTCTAATGTACAGAGCATTTCGGTAAAACTGTCGTACAATGAAAAGGATTTGAAACTGGAAAATGTTGTTGGAATAATAGATCACTAAGAACATTTTGAACGCTTATTCAGGAAATGCTTACTGCAGTAGTTGACCATAAGGCAGCTTGGATGCTCAAAGGAAATGGAGGGCAACTGAAAAATGGTTTGATTCTCTTCAGTTTGTGTTAGAATCAATTTATTAATTAACTATCTCTTTTATAAAATATATAGTGTTAAATGTCACAGAAAAGTGCGACTCGGTGACCCCAGTTGAGAACACATCTGCGACAAGAGTAGTGGACGTTCAGTCAGATATGAAGAGTGCTGTCGATGTAAATTCTCCATCCCCTGAGGATTTTCTCGGATTCCCAACCCAAGAGGAGATAAAAAGTTCAGGTAATGGGACATGCTATTTGTAAATCTCTTCTTCTTAACTTTGAGAATCAAAAGAATTATCCAACAGGTAGATCTAGTGATGTGATCAATGCATGTATGTAGATATATACATTTGTGTG